TGTGGACATCAAGAAAAAAGTGTAATTCTGAAAAATGCTTTGAAAATCAAATTCAAAGAAAAGTTGTTTGGTTATAAGGTGCATTATTATGTGAATATAAGGAGAATTCGTTTAATATTTTTTTTTTGTGAATCTTGTATTGAATTTTGATGTATATGAAACTAGCTACATCAGTTTATTTTGAAAATTATGAGGAAAAATATTTTCAAGTATTGTGATCTTGATAAAAGATTGTTTAAATCAAGATCTTTAAATTAGGTTGTAATAAAATTTAAAGTAAAAAAAAAAAAAAAAAAACTTCATACTAAGGTTGCTTGATTAAAATTGGACATAAATTTAACAAGAATTGAACTATTATAAATTTGCGAGTTCTTTTCTTCTTTTCACTATCTTGATATTCTTATTTTCTAAAAACTAATATAATTATTCTGTAGTTGATTATCGAAAAAGTTCTTTCATAATTGATTAGATTTGAAAAGATTTTGAATACCCAATTCATCATCTCTCTTGGGAAAGTCTTGTTATGAACATTTTAATAACAATTAGTATCAGGATTGCAGAAAAAGTGCAGATTTTAAAGTTATGAAAGAAGTAATAAAAGAACCACATATTATTCAAGAAAAAGATGAGAAAAAAAAAAACTACCAAAAGAATGAAAATCTCCAAGAAAATTATTTTAAAAAATGTAATTAAAGATATATTGAGTTAAAACCAGACATCCAATTTTGCACGAATATAACTTTTGTATCTCAATAACTTCTGTAACAATCAGAGTGATTATATTCTGTTAAGATGTTACCATTATAACATATGAACACATTAAATGCTACAGAAATCATGCCTATTCATATATCTGTTTAGTGAGTATATGATAATAGTAGTAAGTGATATCATTTATAAAAATAAAAAATAAAAATCATCATGTGAATGAAAAATTAGTAGTACAGAATAGATCTTAAAAAAATAATAACTATATCATTTAATAAAATTATAATCATATATATATATATATATATATATATATATATATATATATATTTATTATATTTATAAAAATACATACAAATATATTAAATATATCTATATTTATTATATTTATAAAAATACATACAAATATATTAAATATATCTATATTTATACTTATTATATATAAAAATATAAATAAAATTTGAGTTGTCAGACTAAGCAACTCAATCCAATCTAGCCATGCAGGTCAACTGAAAAATATTTATGGCTATAAACCTAACCTATATCTTAAAGAGATCAAAAAATTTAACTTAATCTAACCTATATTAAACTAGGACAATTTTAACCTAATTGAGTTAAAAAAATTTGACATATCTATTCAAAATTAATTAATTAAAAAATATTTAAATAAAAATATATTTTAAAAATTTAAATTTTATTAATAAAATTAACTTTTATTTAAAATATAATAATTTAATATATAAATTATATAAAAATATGTTCATCTAATTTCATATAAGAATTAAAAACTTATTTATTATTATTATTATTATTTATTTTTAATAATTAATTAATTTAAAATAATAATTAATCTTAATTATTAAATTTTAAAATAATTGAATCTTTAATAAATTAATTTATAATATATATATATATATATTAATAAAATAATATTATTTTTATTTTTATTTAAAAAATTATTATTATTCTATATAACAAATTGATCCATAAATCTATAAACTAATATAACTTTAAGTCATATAAACTATGATCAAAATAGGACATATCAAAATAAGTTTAGTTTATTATTACAATTTTTTTAATTTAATCAACTTATTTTTCAGGTCCACCCATAAATATATTAAAAATATAATTATATAAATAGATTTATATGATATATAAAAGTATATATTTTATAAATCAAAATATAAACAAATGTATAAATATAAATATGTATATTTATATTTAATAAATATTTTGTATGTATTTCTGTTTAAAAAAAATACAAAATGCAATTCAAAATTCGGTTCCAGCCGGTATTCCATTCATAATTGATAGAAATAGTCCTACATAAAAAATAAAAAAAAACTTGGGTGGGCACTACAGTCAAACCACAAACTCTAGCCCTAAATGGTAAATATATCTGAATCACAAATCGCCAATCAAAAACCGTAAAATTTTAAAGGGAGGTTTTGCTATACATAATCATCTCCCAGCACCTCAAAAATGATAAAAGAAATTAAAATACAAACCCTAAACAAAACCGTAAAATATATTGCATGAAACAAACCGATCGAAACAGACAGGTTTGATTTCGGTTCAAAGACGACAAAATCGAACTACAAAGATTAATAAGTAATAGAATGGAAATAGCGAAACGCGATTATGATGAATAAGGAAGACTAAAGCTAAAATTCATAAACTATGACTAATCAGATTGCGATGTGGATAAAGATAAGGAAAAGGGTGAGAATATAAAGGTACCTTGAGGATTGAGACTAAAAATCGACCTGAAAGATCAGAAGCTGCAATTTAGGGTTATGAGATTGAGCTTTCGGAATAGAGCGATGCGAGGGAGGATGGTATTTGGTAGCTGTGACTGAATGACGAATACCAATTTGTCACGTGTATGTGTTGTCACTGACACATTTTTTGCTCTTCTTTCCCGCTCAAAGATAGAGATGAAATCATAAAATCATTTACTTTCATTACAATTTTTTTTTTTTTTACACTTTGTTGTTTTAAAATATGTGCGTTATCTGAATTTTTAAAATAACTTTTATGGTTAAAATTAATTAAAAATAAAAGTACTTACATAGTTTTGATCAATTTTAAGTAAATATGAATGATTTATATTAAAATGATCCATTTTATTTTTTTCTTAATAATTTTGATTAGAGATATTTATAAATAATTTTTTTTTATAATATCTATGACTAAGACAACTATTTTTAAGTGCTAAAGAAGTCTTTAAAATGTTCATATCTTTAATTTTCTATGTGGAGTAAAAAAAATTAAATGTAATAATGTTATTAGGAAACTCATTTATGTAAGGAAAGATATTATAAAATAACTTTCATGAGTAATGCTAACATTCATAATAATTAATTAATAAGAGCTATATAATTTTTTTAAAAAATTCAGGTTTAATTAATATATTTTAATTTTAAAAAATCGACAAAATAATTGTATTTATTTATTAGTAATTTAATAAATTAAAATATCATTTATTTTAATTATAAACTTTAAAAATAAATAATAAAAAAAATCTATAAATTTTTACTTGTGAAAAATGCTTTTTTATAAAAGAAATTATGACAATTAATGAACTAATAACGTTAACGTTACATTTTTTTAAAACTTTTTATATCTTTAAAACGATGGTTGAAACACATGTAATGATAGTACTATTTATATAAAAATTATTTTTAATTGATGTTTATGTTGATTAAAGATAAATTACGTGTTCGTATAAACAATTTTATCATTAAAGTAAATTTTCTTACAGACTCTAATTGTCATACAAATTTAAGAACCTTTACTAATTTTCACACCAATAACAAAATTTATTACAATTAACTTATTTGTAATGGATTCCATTATCTAGCACTCGAATAATAATTTAATTTTAATTTAATCTTTTGACAGCTAATAAAAATAATAAATACTTTAATGTATTTTTTATAAATTTTTTAATATAAAAATATTTTTAAAAGTAAAGATTTGACAAATTAAGTATAATCAATGTAAAATTTGTATTTAATTAATAAATTTTACCAAAAAGAAGATATTTTTAATATTTATAGTAAGTATTTCTAAAGATACAAAGAATCAGAGTGAAAATATACTTTTACTTACAACATTAATTCGGCTTAATTAATTATATTCAGTGTAAAATTTGCATTTACTGAATAAGTTTTTCAAAGAGTCCCTTGACCATATTAACTTACAATTAATATTAAATACTTCTAAATATTTAAAGAATTGTAATGATAAATATTTTTTTACTTTATAATATCATATAAATATTAAATATTTTACTTTACATTAATTTTATAATTTTTAATTTGTATGAAAAAATATATTTTCAATTATTGTATTAAATTGTGTTTTTATCATCTAATTTTGTGTTTTTTTTTCAAAAGTTTTATCTTTTAAAGGGGTTTCTACTTACAAATCATGTGCTGTGTATTTAAATAAATTACATAGAATATTGTTTTTAAATATTTTTTTATTATTAATAGAAGTGTAAGTCTTAAGTTAAATTTAAAAATTATGATATAAATTAAATTAGAAATTTCTTAGTTTAATTTATTCAGGTCATGATATATGAGCTTATGTCAAATTAGTAAGAAGGTTTATGGATAAATTTATTTTATAAAATAATAATTATTTTTTAAATAAAAATAAAAATAATATTATTTTATTAAAAATATATGTATTATAAATTAATTTTAAAAAATTTATTTATTTTAAGAATAAATATAGAATAAGTAACTAATATAATAATTAAGGTTAATCAATAGTTTAGATTTATAAATTAGTAAAATATAAATGATAATAATAAAGAATAAATTTATAACTTTTATTTTAATATTGAATGAATATATTTTCTTATAATTTATATATTAAAATATTATATTTTAAAATAAAAATAATTTTATTAATATAATTTAAATTTTATTTTATTTTTTATTTCAATAAAAATAATTTTTTAATTAATTTTTTCAATATAAATATGATAATATTTTTTTTATTTTCAAATAGCTCAAAATTGATATGATAATCTAACAAATACCATAACTAAAAATTATAATCTATATACTTGAGCTGGGTGGCGTTTTGATATCATTAATTATTGATATAAAATATTTAAATATGAGTTATAACAGCATTAAATGGCAATAAATGTTTTTGAAAAATGAAATCATGAAGACAGAAGTCAACTTGAATTGAATGTCATTGCCTAAGAATTCGAAGTTATAAAGTTGATCGGTGTGGAGTAGTGTTTGGGTTGAGAATTGTGTTTGAGAATGGGGAATGAGGTTGTGTTGTTGGATTTCGATCTGAGTATGTTCTGCATAAGAGTGAAGATTGCACTTGCAGAGAAAGGGGTTGAGTTCGAAGACAAGGAAGAGGATCTGGTGAACACCAAGAGTGCATTGCTTCTGCAGATGAACCCTGTTTACAAGAAAGTTCCTGTCCTTATCCACAATGGCAAACCAATCTCTGAATCCCTCATTATTGTCGAGTATATTGATGAAATTTGGAGGGATAAAGCTCCACTTTTGCCCTCTGATCCCTACCAGAGAGCTCAAGCCAGGCTCTGGGCTGATTTTGTTGACAATAAGGTAATCTCATTTTCACACTTTCTGACATTCATTCATATTTTGGCGTGGAATATTAATTACAATACTAGTTTCAATAAACTTGAACAACAATTTGAGTTTGAGAGCAGTTTTCTCTGTTAAGTTTGAACAAAAGATAGCTCTTTATGTTGATCTGATTTGGGATATAGCATGCTCTAACATGAGATGCTTCTTTGAGTTGGATAATTTACATGGAAAATGTTAACAGCAATCATCATATATGCAGGTGCATGAAGTTTCAAAGAGGATATGGACTGGGAGGGTAGGTGAACATGAGGCAGAAAAGAGGGAGTTGGTAGAGAATTTGAAGCAATTGGAGGAGGCTCTTGGGGACAAGCCATATTTTGGGGGTGACACGTTTGGGTTTGTTGATGTTGCTTTGATTCCCTTTTACAGATGGTTTTCTACTTATGAGAAAATTGGCAACTTTAAGCTGGGCTGCCAAAAACTCATTGCTTGGGCAAACAGATGTTTGGAGAAAGAAAGTGTGTCCAAATATCTTTCTGATGAAAAGGATGTCTATGAGTTTGTTGTGAGCTACAGGAAAAAAATTGGGGTGGACTGAGACACAAAAACCAATTAAGAATGATGATGAAATGTTGAGTTTGGGAAGTTTGTGTTCAGCAAAATAAATTATGCAATAAACTGATGTGAATTGAGCCATAGTCAGTTTGGCTTTGTTGGCTAAAATATCTTTGCATTTCCCTTTTATTTACTATGAATACTCTCTTTTTATATGTCCACATACATGAAAAATCTTTTGCTGCAGTTCAATGCATGTCAACAGCAAAAAAAGACTTAAAAGCACGCACCATTCTCATGGCAGTAGATTCGAATGTTACAACACTTCTCAGGTCTTAATATTCGGCTGTACCAGGCTAATATTAACACAAACAATATCATAAAATCTCAAAATTCTTAGACTATTGATTTTTTTTAACCAGTATCAATACCCCTGCATGCAAGAAAAAAAGTATACAAAAGCAATCCACTCACTGACAAATCTTATGATCCTAATTTAAATATTCATTTTTAAATATAAGAACATGTCAATGTGTGAAATAAAAATTGAATATATATTTTCTTTGTGATTGATGACTTTAACGATGTTTTAAAACTTATTTTATATTACTTTTCTTGAATGAAGACACATTAATATGGAAACTTCAAATATTATAATTCATTTTTCCTCCTCTTTAAATCTACAATGTTGGAAGGGGGACGAGGAAGAAAAATTTAGAAACAGAATCGCTCATTTCGTGAAATGAAATTCAGCGTCAAAACTCTCAATAGGAATAGTGTTTTTTAGGCAAAATACTCTAAATAAATGAATTTGTTTAGTTTGAGATTTATTTTTAAATTTTTTATTTGGGCTTTATTCCCCAGTTTTTTTTTTAAAGTTTACATAAAAAATATTTTTGTGTTGTTTTGTATTTATTGCCAATTTTCAAATTTTTATATACTTAAAAAAAATAGTAAATAAGAAATAAAAAAATACAGAAATAAGCTGTGTGATGTGTTTCATTTGTTGTATTTGCTTTACTATCGTCGAGTCATTTCTTTGTATTTAGAGCTTATTTAAATAAGCTTCTTGACAATCTTTTTAGAAAATAAAAATAAAAAGAAAAATTATAATTAATTTTTTAAAAAGTTAAAACTTATATATATCGAATTGATTTTTTAAATTATATTATTTTTCTTTTACAAATTAACTCTCGCATAAATTATTTTCAACTTATTTTAACAAAAATTATAGAAAAACTAATAAAAACTTAGGTTAATCAATATTGAATATCTAGCTTATTTGCCTTTGTAATGAAACAAATCCGATTCATAAAATATATACACTGATCACAACTTACGAGGCCCAACGGCATAGAAATTACGAGGGATACAATTATTGATTGCTGTGAATCATTTAAACCTTTTCATTTTCTATACAAATTAACGCAGTAACGACACTAAAAAAGTGTGATTAGTCAAATTGCCACAGTCAATCAAAGTCCGAGTCAAATGCTCCCAATATAAAATCGCCAAGGAACTCTTCAACCCTTAGAGATAAAGTGCAAAGGTACCAAACTGAACTATCAAGGAATCCAAGTCCAGGTATGTCATCAAGTGAAGAGCTGAAAATTCTTGTGATTTGTAATCTCAGCAATCGTGGAGAATCGGAGATAATAGCCATCAGTACAAAGTACAAACATATTTGCGGCATACAAAACACAATCAATCACCATACTAATTAAGTATAAATCCAAAACATTAACAGATCTTTGAAGATGATATCCCCCATTTATCAAATTAACATGATTCAAAAGTCAGACGCGTGTCCTCGGCCATAAGGGATGCAAGATCTTCCTGGAAATTTTCTCATGAACAATGTTTAGGTTGTACATAAATAGCCTGATGGAAAAACTTTTATGATTAAATGTCATGCTAATCCAGAGGTGCCTACTTTCATGTAAGTGTTAGATAGCAAACGATCTTAGTCATATCTCATTCTAAAAATAAGCTCAGTAAAAAAAAAAAAAAAACAACTCTAAGGAGGAAATATTTGCATTAAATCATTATGTAACTTACAGAGAACAAGATGAAACAATGGGTCATACCCAGAGTAAAAACAAATTTGAGGCTATTTAGAGGTGATCTGATAGCCATCTCCACAACATATTGTGCATGAAGATAATTGCTTTAAATTATCCTTATTAACACTCCCTAAACCTCTGGGACGATCAGCCTCCTTGATCTTAACAGAGCTAAGACAGCTATTGTCCAATCTCCTCAATTGTAGACTAATCCTCATCAGAATTTGTAGAAGCCAAGGATCCAAATCAAGCCACAGGCACTGATGGGATACCAAACCAACCTACTGCTCTCGTTCAGTAGTTTGCTTACTTGAGGACACAAATTCAAAAGCTTCTATGGAATCTTCACACGGATTTTACCTTTGTTCTAACAAACCTTGCAATGACAGCTCTTCTAAATGTTGCCATTTGATTCTTCATACTCAACTTGGCCAACTTAATCCTCACATCTTCACTTGTATTCTGCAAATCAAAGTAACTTGGCCATCCCACATGGTCTTTCCCCATATAAGGTTCACAGATCTGCTTTCTTAACTACCATCAGATACTCATCCAAGCCATGCTGATCATAATCTAACTCTAATATATACTTGCAGAACTTCCCTCTCTCTGGTTGAAACTCCCATGTTTGACCTTTGTTGCACTAGCTTCTTCATTACAAATAGAGGACTCTTTGTCGAATTGACCTCCAACCCTTCTATTTTGTCCTACATGAGCGCCGATTTGTTATTCATCCTAGACAAATTCTGCTTGCAATTCGGCTTCCGTTTATTCAAGTTTTTCCTCCAACTGATCCATCTTGTCACCCAAGTCATGGTTTATTTAATAAATACTGAGCCAAGGCTCATTCAGAGCACAAAGCAGCATCAGGAAAAACGTGCTAGAGAGAAAAAAATTGGTGAATTTCTAATGGAACAAAGCCATCGATGCAAATGGTTCCTGAACCTATAATTTTTTTATAACACCGTACAACAGATACCAAGTGTAACTGCCAAGTACATGAAAACTTATGTTAAGTATTCAAATGCCAAGAGTTACGCAATGGTGTTTCTTTGTTGAATCTTCTAAGACATTGAACATTAGGACAAATCATTTTCGAATACCCAATAAGCAAGGAGGACTATTAGTAGCAACAAACTTTTAAACCCAACATCAGGAAAGATTGAAAAAGATGTGTACCTGTTCAGGTGTTAACAGAAGTATCATGGAAACAATTATCACAGTTCCAGCAGTGCCCATGTGTTAATTTTAGAGGATTTGGCACAAGTAGTTCCCATGTTCAGTTCTCAATTCATAGTAATCAAGTGAATTGGGTAAAAAAGTAATGCAGTAATCTTTACTCGTCCGTTGACTGTTGAGTCCATTGAGGATCAAGCAGTTCACGTAGCTTCTTTGTGACATTCTGCTAATAACCTTTTTATTAGACCTTCTGAGAGACTGGAGTGCCATGTTGCATCTTGCTTGATCATACTTTTATGTCTTCTTCCTTTTTTACATAATAAAGTTAAGGATTTTTTTACCCTATAGCATCTATACCTATCTTTTCAATCTTAATGAATTTTTTGTTCAAAAACAGCTACAAATTCGGATTAACATTGTCCTAACTTTTGTTGGCCAAAATTGAACACAATTTATCACGTTGAAGCTGTGGAATAGGACTTAGGCATAAGACATGAAACTTCCATCATTGATAGGTACAAGTACATTAATTAGAGCAAATGGTGTAGTATAATTGAAAAAAAAATCATTATTATGTCCCTCTAAAGTCTAAATGGCGTAATAAAAGACAGACATAAAAATGTATGGTTAAATCAAGTATCAAGGACAAATAAACCTTTACTAATAAAAGGAAATTGAAAAGGCAAGGGTTGTGATGTATCTACCTTCTGTGATGTAAGTTTCTCTCACATATGTTATTTGTTTACATGGTGAATTTCTCATCTGGAAGAACAGATTAAGTATTAACAATATCCAAGAACAATTAAGGAGAGAAATTGAAGCGAAAACTGCATTATAAACCCTCAATCAATTGAAGTATTAACAATTTAAATAGTTAGTCACTTGGAATGGTAAACAATGCTCTAATATAGTAATAAGAAAATATCTCACACTTCAACAGAAGAAAATTAAAGAACTGAAATATAACATTAAATGAATGTTTTGAAAATTTAGCTTATGTTCTTCATGCTTTTTTTGGCAAATGCTGGGCATAATGTGGAATCACATCCAATAACTAGCATATTGTGGAATGATAAACAATCCCAATAAAACATTCAAAATCATACCCAGTAGTTTGATATATAATAATAAAATTTCCCACTTCAACAGAAGAAAATTAAAAGAAATGAAACATAACATTAAATGAATGTTTTCAAAAAGCATCTTGTTCTTTATGAATGATTTGTTATGCTTTTATGGCAAAATGCTAGGTATGCTTGGATCATTCATAAACAGGATTAATGGCTTAATTAGAACTAAGGAGGCTAAGTACCTGTGACAATTTTTTGTGTGTAGATTTAGTTGTTAGAGTGGAAGTAAAGAGGCAGAGCATATATGCACTTTCCAATAGGCGCTACTATTGCATTTGATGTGACCATAATACTAATTTTTGAGGTTTCATTGGGTAAGCATCTGATTTGACACAACATTAGGCACTTAATCTGATAAGTGTAGATTACATCTTAACACCATTTAGTATTAATTAAGTGAAATTTCCCAATAGGTATATTAAGTAGGAAATGTGGGAATTTCCATCATTACCCTCCACAGATGCCTAATGGATCAAGAGATACGAAGAAAACAATAGAAATCCACCTCCACAGACCACAGAATCAACATAAGTGGGCTACAGTCTCTAATACCAAGTTGAAAATGAATGAAGTTTTGAATATTATTTATTGATGAGATACAAGCACTAATCCACTTGTATACACTAATCATAATAGAAATTGGATGTCCTAGTAATTACAGGCGATCAATTTCAGAGATATGCAGAGGAAGTATTCTGTCCTAAATTAACGCTAATTACATGGAGATATTCGGTCCTGAATTAATACTAATTACATGAAGATATTCTGTCCTAAATTAATAATAATTACTTATTTTCAACATATAACAGACATGTGATCTACATTAGAAAAAAGGTGAACGGGCCTGCACATAATTAGGCCCATTAAGGGTGGGTTTCAGTTATAAACTGTAGACAAGTAGTTGCCTACAAAATAGGAATAACTGTAAATGGTTTGAGGGAAAGCACATGCCTCTCACCTAGGAATGAGCAACTTCAGCAGTGGTGTTGACAGTGGAGGGTTCACCCACGATTCAGTGCACAGTTAACTTGTTGGGGCTGCTAAACATATATTTTAAGATCCCATTGCAATTCTAGTGTGGGGTATATAGAGCCTTGAACAGTGGAATCTCTTTTCAGCTACAATAGCTAGCTTTTGTGGTCTGGTTCTCTGAAAGTTCTTATCAATAATTTCTATTTAGCAAACGAGCATGGCCTCTAAAAGGCATTTCCCTAATAAATGTGAAAACTTGTAAATGGAGTAACAACTTTGCTCCATACCTCCAGCAATGCTTTCTATTTTTATTTGTTGTTCTGATTTTACTTTTACATTATGAAGGATCCATTGTTACTTGATTACAATCTAAATTTACTCTCTTCATCTTTCCAATTTCTTCTTTTATCCTTTAGACAATAACCTTTTTGACAAACAAAAATGATTGTTAAAGGTTAACACCACCAATAGTTTCCCATGCATTTCTTTTTTGATTGAACTGGAGAGAAGATTTCAAGGATTAGTATACCTTTTTCTTTACTATGTAACTCAGTATTATATAATTATGAAGGATAAACCATAGGTGGAAGGAATATGATTCAATATTAGTCAATCTCAAATCCAAATAACTCACCAAAATTTCCCCATAAAAGGGAAAGAGCTCATTCTTTCTTGGACTTAGTGAATTGTATTGGGCGGGTTTGGGAAGCTAAGGCACTTCTCACCCACCTCCCTAACCACTTTCAATTAGGCATGACAATAGGAAAGGGCAGAAACAAATTTGGCTCTTCCCATCACTACAAAAAGGGGATTGATTAGGATTCAGGTTTACATTTTAAAACTCATCTCCATAACTGTAGGATTTTATTGGGTTCAGGGAAATCTGTGAGTAGTAGGCTGCACCATTTTTTATAATTTTAATTTACATATACATTTTATAATAAATTATATACTTAATTATTAATTACATTTTAATTCAAACAATATATTAAAAATAACAAACAAGATTATTTTTTAAAAAAGTTAACTAAATTATAGTTTAAAAAGTTTTTATGTATGTATATATGTATGGTGTAACAAAAATTATAAAAGAAGGTACCAGGATGGGGACGGTGACCGAATGTTATATACCCATCCCTGTTTAAAAATATCAGACAATACTTATACCCATACCCGGTTGTGCAATTATTTTTTGTCAAAGCAATGTGGATTTGAGATTCTTTACCATGTCTAGTGTCAATTCTTGACCAAGTCCTTCACTATCATCTTTATTGCTAAGACATGTGACTCTAAATATCAAAGTGGCATACTATGCTCGGTTCAATTTTTTTAATGCTTTGTCCATCTTCTTTCTCCTTGAATTTGGACCCAGTAGGTCAGACTAATTGATAGAAATTGGAACAAAATAACATGAAAGATAGATAGAAAGCATTAAACAACAGAAACAAAAATGGAAAATAGAATTCCCCTCAAGGGCTTTCCCCTCCATGAAGGATCACTCCTTTCACTTCACAAACTATCAAATTAACAGAATAACCCTCGCCAAGTCTAATGTCCCCTATTTATAATCAAACTAACTAGCTATCTGGTCCGTCTACCAAATGAGTAATGGACTGGCAGCTGTCCTTATTCAAGGCTAATTACAAATCCTAACAACAGGAGGTAGTAATATCTAGTGTCTACCACAACCACAAGAAAGCCGATGGATAGACAAGTACTAGAACCAAAAGAGAAGCTTGCAGAAATGCAGCAGTTTGAAAATAAAAAAATATGAAATGAAATGTTGAACCCGTTTTATAAAAAGGTAAACATTATGGTGGCTAGCAATTCTCTATACATGGCCTCTCAAAAGGCGATCCCAAGTTCATTGACTCATGTTTTGAATGAAGGCAGGACATATGCCAAACGCTTATATCCTCACTTTATCACTCCCACTCATTTGGATTGATCTTATTATGTCAAGAAACTTGTCGTGTTTCTTTAAAGTGATCCCACTACCACACAGGACACTGGAAGTAGGTTCAAGACATGTATCAAAGACACTGCACTGAACTTCTAGGTTATCATCTCAGCGTCTATCTAAAATACATCAGCTGTCCATTATGTATAGGCCAGCTACCCGACAGTTTACCATTATAAAATCCAGCTGACAATTGCTGTCCAACTAACATTCTTTACTTACGACTACAACATGTCTATGAAATGAAGGTAACCAGACACACAATTACCAGTAAAGCAGATTGACAAACTTATAAATCAAGCATGATACAGAGAAGCACCTCCATTCCATACAACACAAGGCTAGCATCAATAATAATTCATTTTTCAAATGATAAATAGGTGCACCATATTATCGTAAGTATCACAACATGGCATGCAACGACTGCATTTGAATGAGGTAAAACACAAGTACCAGTGCTTGACATTTCAATTCCAATGATGCAACCAGCCACCCACAATCTAGTCCTACCCAAAAACCCACAACAATCAATTCCACAACACCATAACAACAACAGCAACAACCAATTCAGTATTCCAAATCTTATTGCAATGTTTAATAGCAATGGATTGGACGAAGAAGTACACTATTACGCGCCGCGCCGCCGGCCGCCGGCGGAAACATCCCCGTTCAGCTCTTCGTCGTGCTCCAGGGCGAGGATCTCCGCGAGGTGCTCCAGCGCCTCCTTCGCCCTCTTCCTGGCCACGGCGGCCTCCCTGGCGCGGCGCTCAGCGTCGAAGCGCGCAGCAGCAGCAGCCTTGCTCATGGAGACGGCAGCGATCCGCGCAGCGGCGACGAGGACCTTGGCGGACTGGACATCGACGGCACCATTCTTCCGTTCAGGGAGGCTGAAGAAGGTGAAGTTGGAGTCGAGACAGATAGGGCAGAAGAAAGGTGGCGTGGAAGCGGCGGAGGCGGGGGTGGAGGGAAAGACACAGGATCGGTGGGCGATGGAGGGGCAGCGGACGCACATGAGGCGGTGATGCGGAGGAACAAGAGAGTCGTCGTGGAGGTCGAAGCAGATAGGGCAGAAGAGGCCAGGGTGCTGCTTGAGGACGCAGTTGGTGCAGTAGCGGCGAGTGTGGGCGTGGTGGCGGATGTTGTGGATAGTGAGAGATAGGGTTTGTGTGGCGCCACAGATGTCGCAGTTCGACGGAGATGGTTCCCGGGAGTTCATGGCGGAGGAGGAGAGAGCCTCCGTACGGACGGTCCAGCTCCAACGGTAACCCTAGAAATTCAACACTGATAAAAAGAAAACTGGGATTAGGAAAATGGTGGGAACGACTAAACGATTCATTTTACCAACGGTTTTCTTATAATCCCTCGCTATTGTCAACAACAGAGTGAAAACATGGTTTAATTATTTTTTTAGAAACTATTGACTCGAGTTTATATTAGAGTGAAGACCCTGAATCCATGTGTAAAGAGAAAAATAATATATATTTATAAATTAAAATTAACCTATAACATAAAAATAATAATTTAAAAAAATTATATATGCAAATTAATTTATGTAAAGAATTATTTTATTTTTCTTTCTTTAAAGTGTTTATGAAATACTCCTTAATTGTTCTATGAAAAAGTTATTTGTTTTGTTTTTGTTTTTATTTTTAAATAAAAATTATCTTTTTTATGTTTCATAAATTAATGGATTTAGTTGTCCAATTTTTTATAATATTATAATTTGAGTCATTCTTTATTTACATTTAAGATTTAATAAAAGTAAAAATAAAATGGGAACAATATTGAATTTTATTTTTTTACATCTAAATTTAATAATTGCAACAAATTTGTATTGTTATAAAATTAAAAAATAATTATTTTTTAAAAATTTTAAACATTAATTAATCAAATTATATAAAACCCAAAACCACATGTAATAAAATATGCAAAGATCCAAACATTTTATTTCTTATTTAATTGTTTGATAAATACATGTGATGATGTATGTCATGAAAATTACTTTATAAGATCATATGTATTTTAAATCTTTGTAAAATATTTTAACTATTAAAATCATATTTATATTTTATCCACTTTTAAGGTTTATTAGTTATGGATGTATATTGGATTGAGTAAACATCCATGTGTTTAATTCAATTCAATTAAATTTGATTTATTTCGGGAATAAATTAATTTAAATCAATTTAAATAAAATAAATTTTAAAAATTTGATAATTATAATTATAACTCAAATTAATTTAATATAAATTGAATTGAATTGGTAGAATAAAAAAATATAGAAAATTAATTTAATTTGATTTAACTTAAATTTATTATAATTTTCAAAAAATTTTGTTTAACGATTTATTTTTATCCTTAAAATTTGTTGGCAACTAAGAATCACATGATGTCCACGTGTGTCGATCAAATATTTAAAATAGATGGTTGGCGGTAATTGACGACTAAGATTTACTCAGACCATGAGATAACATTCTCATCTTAATTTTATTTTATTATGCTACTTTGTCCCTAGTTTGACTTTATTAATAGATAAACATTAATATGTTATTTAATTATATTATTAAAGAAATAATATTTTTATTTATTATTTTGATTTCTTTTAAATATATCTTAAAGCTTATTTATTTCATATTTCATCATGTTATTAATTGCATTTATTATTTTCATATTTTTCTTTCTCAAATATACATACACTTAAAAAATATAAAAATTATATATGAAACATTATTTAAGATTGCATTTCATCCAAACAATTAACCATTGATTAAATTATTTATTATATAATTTTATACAATAATAAACTAATTTTTAAATGACTTAAAGTACAGTTTAAGAAATTGAAAAATATTTGCTGTAACTAATAAATAAATACTAGTTAAATTAATATATTAATATTTCAATTTCCATGTTCACTTTATATATATATATATATATATATTATTATATCACTAATGTTGTTATCTATTGTATTGTTTCTTTTTAAGTTTTTTTTTATTTTTATTTCTTTGGCACCTTATCATTTATATCTTTTTATTTTTATTTTTCAAAATACATATACTTAAAAAAATATTTTTTTTTAATTTTAATTACAAATTACAAATCACTTTAACTTTAATTATATGTACCTTTATTCAATTTTTAACTTAATTTTATAAAGATTAAAAAATATATTTTTATATGGACTAACATTAATGATTATAATTTGTATAGGATAAAAAGGAAAGACAAAATTTTGTAATAACCAAATTCAAAACTTATTCTATTTACATTTGTTTAAAAAAACGTATTTAAGCTTGTAAATTTGAAAAAATAAAATCTTGCCATTGATTTGAATATTACAGGTGAGGGACCCTAGTCAAGAACGGAAGAAAAATTTCCACGTTTTCGAAGGAAAGAAAACTGAGCGGGTTTTGAATTTTGTGAAGCATTTGGTTGATTTGAGAGAGAGAGAGAGAGAGTGAGAGGAAGCACAGCATAGCATAGCATTACAACAGCAATAGCATCCATGGATGTGGAGGACTGGGATTTGAGCGCAGAGGACCTCGATTCCCTCGAAAGAGATGCTTTCCAGAAGATTTCTCAACTACGCAACCCTCCTCCTCCTTCTTCTCCGCATCAACATCACAATTCTGCAACTACAACAACGAATTACTTCCCACCAAAACCCCTTCCCAATTCGCGTCCCCAAACTGTAAAGTTATTATCTTTCTCATTCCCATTACTTTGAGTGCCATGGGCCCTCTCTCCGTGTGCTTTTTATTTTTATGTCGTTTATAAGGTTAACTTAGTCGTTTTGGTGTTAAGTATTATGTCCCATTTAAAGTGAAGCAATTTAGAGGTAGAAGCACGAGCTGCTTGATACTACAACGATCATAACTAGTATTTTACTTTATTTTTATGAATTATGAAGTGTGACTGACATTTTTGGGTTGGAACACTGCTCAGTGTCTTAGTTTTATTGTTTCAATCCAGGTTGGTGCTTCGTCTCAAGGAGCAAGAGCATTGCCCACGTCATTGAAATCAGGGACAAACAACGGTGTGCTTAGTATCTTCTGCGCCATTTAATTAGTCACAGCAACCTATCTTCTCTGTCTTTTTCTTTTAATTTGTTTATCCACCATTTCTTATGTGTGCTCAACAGTGCTTGAAAGTTTTTATTTGCCTGCTGTATTTGTTATGGTAATGGTGATTTGTTTATCCGGCTTTATGTATTGCAGACAAACATTCAGAAAAAGGGCTGATAAAGTTTTCAGTCAAATTTTTTCTTCATTCCAGTGGAAATATTGCAGCAAAGTTTCAATATGACCAGGTTTTATTGACTAAATTACTTGCAGAGATTTATTTTATTATTCAATTTTGAATCTTTCACATTCAAGGATTTGTCTTTGTTTGACCATATACATTTGTCAGTGTAGAGCTCCAGTCTCATGCATTGGACTTTGTTTTGCATCAGGTAGTAGTTGCTGCTTTTCGAAAAGTCCCTAAATCTTCTTGGAATGCAAAGGAACGGTATGTTTCTTCACCCTTAATCCAATTTGTGTGTTTGTCCACTGTGCGCCAGTGAGAGCATGCATTAGTTCTCTGGATTGGGTACTCTGTTGCATTAGCCGTTTAAACTTTGAGCCTTCAGGTTATGGATATTTCCGCAATCTTCCTTGTCAGAAGCAGAAAAGTTTCTTGGAGAAATATCAGGTTATAATGTTCAGGTAACTGCTTCTTCCTTATTTCATTTTCTTTATATTTAGGAAATTGATGCTAGTATGCTACTATTTACCATCAGAAGACAAACATCCTTGACATACACAAATTTCCTTTTGATGGTGAGTCTTGGATCAGTAGTAAGAGTAATTGTTAGTGCCTTCATTTGTGAAAGAAGGCTTGTGTGCTTTTGTCCCACTTCTGAATATCACGGAAACAACCTCCTTGTTTTCTTATTTTTCTTTATAATTTGTTTAGCTCATTTAAATTTAAATTTTAGGCATTGTCCAAATCATTGAGGATATATCTATTTAACTTTTTCACGCACTTAATAATTGAGTGTGGTTAGATGAGCAAGTCTTCTTGAAGTCTTTTGAAGATCTTTTGTATCTTTGATGATTGTCTTGAGTGTTTGAGTATGAGATAGTGAGTAGTCTTTTTTGGAGATTTGTTTGGTTGTTTTATCTGGTTCTTCTGAACTAGAGCACATGAGTTTCAAATCTTTACAATGTAGATTAGAGGAAATCCGTGATGTATGTTTTCCCTGAATTCTGCTAAAATCTTTTGAGTTTCCTTTTTTTTTTTTTTTTTAATTTATACTTGTTTTGAATAATTTTTTCCCCTTTTGTCTCTTGCCAATTTCAATTTTCTTTTTCTTGTGCAACCCTGTTTATTTACGCTTGGATGTTTTAATAATGGAAAGATAGATCATTGACAAAGTAAAACATCCTATTTGGATAATAGGACTAGGAGATTCAAAGGTTAATCTGGTTCGGTGATTCTGTAAATATTTATTCATTGAGTGAGAAAAACATGTTATCATAGAGTAAACATGTATACCAGAATTTTATGTTTAAGCTTGTTGTTTATTTCTAACCTTGTTTTGTTTCTTATTTTCTATTTCTATATCTTTTAGTTTTCTTCATTTATTTATATAATTTTACAGATAGAAAACTTAGATCCCTTAGTGCAACGTGCCATTGCTGCAGCTTCTGCTGTTCCAGATCTTCAAGGTATATACTGAATATTTAATTATCATTTTGTTCTTTATTTTCTAGGTCTGCAAAGACTTTAGGTATACATTTGTGTTTTATTTTTTATGAAAATTTCTGAAGTTACTATTTTTGGCTGCTTTACTGAAAGATCGTTACCACAAGATTCCTAGTTATATTGAATCAAAGCTATTGCCATTTCAGCGAGAAGGTGTTAGGTATGTAGTGATCTGCTCACTTTTTTTTGTCATCATTCTCATAACTATGGATAAGCTATTGTCTTTTATTTTCCATGTCTATTTGCTTTTTCCTCTCTAATTTGTTCTTCTACCATGCATTCATTTTTTATTATTTCTTTTCAGGTTTATATTGCAGCATGGAGGACGTGTTCTCTTAGCAGATGAAATGGGACTTGGGAAAACATTGCAAGTATTTCACTGTCTAAAATTAAATTATTTTCATCCCTAAACAATGTTTTGCTTCTTTAAAACAAATAGAATTGTTTGTGGTGGAAGTAAAATGTTGGCTGGATATCTGCTTTTCTATCTAATATCTATTGTTGGGTCATAAACTTGGTTAATTATCTTTCTTCTGTAAATAAAAAAAGTGCATCTTCGTGTCTTAAATGTTAATTGACTCACGATAGAATTCATCCTTAATGATACAGTAATATGTGTAACTTAAATAACAATAGTACACATAAATAATATTACAGTTACAGTAACATAGATTAGAGTCCATTTCTTGTAACTTGGGGTCGTATGATATGTTAGAGTTATGTTCTTTTATTTGATTGTTAATTATTATGACAGCAACTACCTTTGAGCCAGGATGAATGTAGAATTTATTATTATATAAAGTACTTTTTATACAATTATAGCATTCTTTTCCAAATTATTCAAGCAAATGTAGAGAAAATTCTCCACTTATTTCCTTTTTTATTTCTATCCAATTAAACAATACATCTTTTCTACCCTTTCTTTTTTATTTGTTCTTTCCATTTCTTTTCTCCTTATTTCATTGGTCATCCAAACAAAGTGTCAGGGAAGAAAAGTAAGGAATATTATTCAATTGGACTACCATATTACATAAGAGTTCTACCTTTAATTTTTCTTGACTTTTGTGTCAAGTCAAGGACCAAAACTCAAGTTGTGACTGGAGAATAGGCTAATCTAATTGAAACACTCTTTTTGCCCGGAAAGCCTAACTGTTATATGGCAAAAATCATTATTCAAACACTCTCCTGACATTATAGGAACAATTTCTTTTAATGATAGTCTTATCTTCTATTAATGCATGTCAATCATATCTTATCTCCCTTGGAGCAACTTCATCTGGTTTATTGCTTTGTCTGTACACTGGTAACAGGTAGCCCTTCTTGGATTATAACTAGATGCATCTGGATTTTTACTCTTGCTAATGGCCACATGATTAACATGGACATCCCAAAGCTACAAGTTATAGAAAAACACTCGGTTCAAACCAAATTCATTTCCAATGATGAAAATCTCAATTTCATGTTTCAAAATTGAAATTCATTCATCATAATCAAAATATGATAGGTTCCCAACCTCTATGGGGAGTCATTTAGTCATATAAGGAAGGGAGAGTTACTTATGGAGCGAGGAATTGGTAACGAGTGTATTATCTAGGAGTGTAGTGTGGGTCTAGAGGATATATACTCTGACATAGGAGGGGCTTCTCCTCTTGTGTTTTCTCTTGTGGTCATTCCTTATTTTCAGAAATGCAAATACATCAGCTTTCTGATAGAAGTTCTTATAAAATATCTGCTTCTCATATTTCACAAAATATAATCATCTTATTGACCTAAAGTTCATAATGCAAAAAATTTAGTGTGGTCAGAAGACCATATAAAGACTTATTGCTCCTACCAAAAAATATTAGACCAATGACATTACAAAATCAATAAGATAATGATCATAAAAATATTACAAATATACTGTCATGGTCACTAGCCACTTAAAACTATGAAGAATTATACTAAATCACTGTTTGGAACCACAAGATAATAGTAGGTAGACCTGAACATCTACAACTATTTAATAAAGCTTTAGAAAATGATAAGTCTATTCTTAGAGTGCTAAAATAACCATCAGGAGTTGTGTCTCACAACATTGATCATTTTGCAGGCCATTGCTGTAGCTTCATGCATTCAGGAGTCGTGGCCTGTTCTCATAATTGCACCATCTTCGTTACGCTTGCAATGGGCTTCTGTAAGAGTTGCATTTCTTTTTTCATCATTAATAGGAAACATTTGGCAAGTTAATAATTGCTCCCTGTTTTTTCTTTATTTCAGATGATTCAACAGTGGCTGAATGTTCCTTCATCAGATATACTTGTATGTTATCCATGATCCCTTTATCAAATTTTATATATTGTTTGTTCTCTTTTGGTTTGTATAGAAAAGTCTAGAAATGCAACTCCCTGTTTCCTTTTTTTTTTTTCTTGAGGTTTCTCTTCTGATAAAGTATATAATTTATTTTGCATTCGGAATTCTATTCTGATAAAGTAGATTGTCTTACCTCAAAGTGGTGGATCAAATAGAGGAGGTTTCAATATAGTATCTTCAAGTGCTAAAAACAGTATTCGTCTGGATGGACTATTCAACATTATCTCATACGAGTTGGTGCCAAAACTACAGAATATGCTTATGACATGTGAATTTAAGGTTAGTTCCTTCATGTTATCTAATTTTTCTGACTTTCATTGTGGTTCCTAAGTTGTTATCTTAATCATATCAGTATTTTATTTTAACTAGTCCTTGAAGGCTGAGTACAATGAATGGAGGAAGTGATCTATATATTATTGCAACCAAAGTGTTGTAAATCTGAAATACATTAATTTGATGAAGTATTTTATGTTTGTAAATTATGAGGCTCATTATGATCATCAATTTTACACTAAGCTATTGAACAGTGTGTTTATTTGAAAATGGGTTGTGATACAGAAAGGCTATGTAGATTGATTAAAGACGTGGAGGAGATACAATATTTACTTTTTTCCCCTTCTTTTGGTCTCTTGGCTGGGAATTTCAGTAGTTATTGATTTTTAAATGAAATTTACTTCCATTATCCACTCAAACCAATTGTCTGATGATAATGATGGCATTTGTTTTACACGGTATCATTAGTTTGAGATACATGTGAATTTCAGAGTATTTAGCGGCTATTGCATATCTATCATGATCCCAAAAAATAGCCAAGATAGAAATTAATTTTTTCTTTTGTTTCAATTATGGTCTCTTGCCCTTTTAGAATACTTTCTTTTTTGAAAAAGTGTAAAATGATTTGAGCAAGTGGCTAATAGTATTTTTATGTTTTTACATTTCAGCTATTTTATTTTATAATTGTGTTCATATCATATAATATAAGCTTCTCCTGAATTAATGTCTGGGACTGTAATTATTTACCTGCATACATGGTAAAAATAGCTTCAATTATTGCTGATAAGTACACTCTTAGCGTTGAACGATTGTTGTTCAGGTTGTGATTGCTGATGAATCACATTTTCTGAAAAATGCTCAGGCAAAGAGGACAACTGCTTCTCTTCCTGTCATAAAGGTATTCATTCTTGAAAGCCACAATCACATGTGTACCTATTTCTAAATTTAATGTTTAACTGACATTGAAAACATATAAGGAAAAGATAAATGATAAAGGAAGAGAATTGAAAGGATAATTAAACAGAACAGAAAAAGAAAAAATAAGTCCATTGTGTGTACAGAAGCATCTGTAAAGGGTCTAGTACTCTTCACCCTTGTTCCCATCCTCCCCTATAAAGACAGTCTGATTTCATATGTGAAACATATAAAATGAATTTTGTTTTAGCTTCAATATTTGTTTAGTTGCTGCATAGATTGTATCCGGTGGAGTTTTCTCTCTTTCAAATTCTATCATACTTTCTTTGACAACAAAGTGTCATGAAATTGTCAGAAAGCTCAATATGCATTATTGCTTAGTGGAACACCTGCGTTATCCAGACCAATTGAACTATTCAAGCAGGTAACTTTTTCTTAGGTCTATTTGCCTCATTAGTGTTTGGCATTATTGGAATGTACATTTGAATAATCTGATTGAAATTGTGCTCTAGCTGGAAGCTTTGTATCCTGATGTATATAAGAACGTTCATGAATATGGTAACCGGTACTGCAAGGGTGTAAGCCATCTCTTCGTTACTGATAAAATTCTTTTGATTAGTCAGTTTTTCTTTTGATGTTAATGGATGAGTATTCATACTGTCTTTATCACATGAATCTTCTAGGGATTTTTTGGACTTTATCAAGGTGCGAGTAATCATGAAGAGTTGCACAACTTGATGAAGGCAACAGTGTTGATTCGCAGGCTTAAAAGTGATGTTCTTTCTCAACTTCCTGTAAAGCGCAGGCAACAAGTGTGTATAATTTATCACCATTTGTTCTCTGCAACATTTTATGTTCTGCACACTTTTGACTGTTAATTTCAATCTGTGCACATAAATTTTTATGAAACTTTATAATTGATTATTGAATTTTTTGGTAACTGGTTCACAGGTCTTCCTAGACTTGGCTGACAAGGACATGAAGCAAATTAATGCTTTATTTCGAGAGGTAATTCAACATATCTGCTGTACATCTTTGTCTTTAGAATTGATTTTCCATTCAAACTAGTAATTTGACTTCCTTTGGCTAGACTGTTAGTTACTTAATGTACATACATATTATGAGCATTTCATTTAACTTGCTTTTACTAATAAATGAATAGTAGTCTTGATAGAAAAAACTGATATCTTCTTTTATGTATGAAATTGGTTTGAATTTTCTTCTGCAAGTTTTACCTAGATTTGTAGACGTAGTTTTTATATATTTATTTATTTACAAAAATAGGTTACTTGGAGATGGTAATATTTTTGTCTTGTATGTTACATGTGGTAAAAGGCTGACCAGTATTATTTTTCTCCCGCAGTTGGGGATGGTAAAAGCTAAAATTAAGGCAGCTAAATCACAAGAGGAGGCAGAATCACTCAAGTTTACTCAAAAGAATATAATTAACAAGGTATTAATGGAATGAGCTTTGCACAGAAATTTCTGTTGCACTATTTGGTTTGAAAAATTGTTGCTATGTCCCAAAAGAAGAATGTATGGTTATAGTTTACATTTCTGCTCTCTGTATGTGTTGGGCAATTTAAATTTTGACTGTTTGTTATTAAACATTAAATTTTTATTCATTCAATTCCAGATATATACTGATTCAGCAGAAGCCAAGATTCCATCTGTTCTTGATTATGTTGGAACTGTCATTGAGGTACTCCTCTATTTCACTTTCAACGGTGTTGATGTATGCACCAAGATCCTAAGATCTGTTTTCTGCTTTCTCTGTCTCTTTGTTCTGGATTCTTGCATGTATGATGTTTAGTAGTAATCTAACCTCATACTATTAAATTTTGGCTCAATTTTCTGTTTTGTATTGCTTTTATTGTAAATAGGCCCTTTTAACACTGATTATAAGTTGAATGGATTCTATGAAATTGTAATAATTTTTTTTGGAATAAGCTGACTGAGTATTGATGGAGCTTTCATATTCTGTCAGCTCAAAGTTAAAGTTTTTTATTCTAGAAGAACATATAAGATAATAGTGTTTCATCTTCTAAATTTTGATAATGTCAAGCTCCAAGATGTATCCTGTGTTCATTTCTTTGTTAGAAAGTATAGTGGTGATAAAGATTTTGAGAAAGGAGTAGAGAACTTTTATCGTAATAATTGAAGTTCAGAGTACTAAAGGTTGCTTCCCTGCAAGTTATATACCATTGATTTTGGGTCTCAAAGATAATGCTGCAGAGCATAGCAATTCATGAATCATGACAATTTCTTGTGTTGTGCCTGCCACCAAGTTATTGGTTACAGAGTACTGAGAAATTGGTAGCCAAACTACACATTAATTGTATACCAGATTAGATGTGAACAGACCGTTGTTGAGCTGATTGATTTATCTCATGCTTCACCTAACCGAATGAGTATGGTTAAGGATGGCATCTGCGGTTTTGTCATCTTCATATTTCTTAATTTTGGTTGTAGATCATCGGAATGGTAACGCTATGCTTCATAATTTTTGCAGGCAGGTTGCAAGTTTCTTATATTTGCACACCATCAGCCAATGATTGATTCAATACATGAATTCCTTCGTGTAAGTCCACTTAAATATTATGCATCTCTTCATGAAATGGTAAAGTCTCACGAGAACTGTTTAAAATTTCCAGAAGAAAAAAGTGGGTTGCATCCGGATTGATGGAGGTACACCTGCTGCATCCAGGCAACAATTGATTACAGAGTTTCAGGAAAAGGATTCTATAAAAGCAGCAGTGGTATGGTAAATTTGGATACGAACATCCTTGTAATTATTTTTCTGTTTCCTCTGTTGAACTCTTTGCCATCTTGCGCTAAAATTCTGGTATAAATATGGTTCAATTTGAGTTAAAGAATTTCGGCTCACATGTCTGCAGCTATCTATTAAAGCTGGAGGCGTTGGGTTAACTTTAACTGCTGCCAGCACAGTAATCTTTGCAGAATTGTCTTGGACTCCCGGTGACCTAATTCAGGCCGAGGACCGCGTCCATAGAATTGGCCAGGTATCATCAAACTTGGGTGTTGTTTAGTAGAAAGAGGAAAAAAAGAAAGAGGCATAACCCCCCCCTCCTCGTAGTTTACATAGCAACTCAATAGTACGAGCATGATAACATTATGAAACCGTGGCAATCTGTGGAAAATTGTGATAGATTATCTCCATATTTAAAAGTTCTTCCATTGCTCGGCTTATTTTATTTGCCTAGGTGCTATGATGTTCTGATGACCCTTACACTAGCTACTTCCTTGTATTTAGGTGTCTTCAGTAAATATATACTACTTGCTAGCAAATGACACGGTTGATGACATCATATGGTGTGTTTTGTGCTCTTCTGCTGTTATCTAGGTTTGGTGTTTGGTACTGACTTGCTTTATTAGATGAATTAATAATATTATAAATTTTTTCACTTCTTAGGGATGTAGTGCAAAGCAAACTGGAAAATCTGGGGCAGGTATATCTCTAGTTTTTGGGAACTCTCGATCGTGATGCAAAATGAGAGTAATTTTTTATTCAGTTTTTGTATTGTAAAATGATATGGATGTCCAAGTATGATTTGTATACCTACCCTTTGGAGAAGATTTGTACAAAATTATTTTTTTATAGTTTGGATTGATACTTTTAAGAAGCATTCTGAATTTAAGTTATTAAAACAGATGTTAGACGGTCATGAAAAGGCCTTGGAGGTCTCGGCTAGTCTGCCAGAGAATAGCCCTTCAAAGCAGAAAACTCTAGACCAGTTTGTTAGAAGACCTGAAAACATGGATACGTTGGTGAATAGCCCTTCAAGGCAGAAAACACTAGACCAGTTTGTTAGAAGATGTGATAACATGGATAAGTTGGAACATGACCCCGACCCCAACCCCAAACGTCCCCGAAACACTGACCCTTGAAGGTAAGCAGATATTTTTCTGCTTATACATGTTTGCTTGGTTCTTACAATGTCTGAGCATGTCACAAAAATCCCATGTAATAGTTCTTTGAAAATTTAACAGCAGGTGCTCAAAGTGGAAAACAATAATCGCACGTTGGCACTCTTGCTCGTCCCTTGGGACGAGGGGCTTCTAAAGCAGGAGGTGTGGCTTGTCAGCACAGTTTACAACTTTAAACTATGAAGCTGGTGCCGGAGGAACTTCACGGTTTTGCAGAATATGCACGGGATGAAATGAAGCTTCTCAACTGATGTTAGGCTTCAGATTTCCTTTAACATCTTGTCCCCTTCAGTCGTGAGTGGGACTTGTACAGTGTATAATATCACATGAATGTAACTTGAAAATTGCTTTACTCAATACAAATTTTTGATATTATTGCCATGTCATGTATGTTATTTAATTTTCTACTTATCAGAAGTTATGAAATTGAGTTTTCTACTTGAACGTGGCATTCTTCACTTCAAATGAACAAGTTTGGTTGTATATAATATAAATAACTTCGAGATTGGTCTAAATTTTTCGTTTGATCTCTATTGTTAAACAAAATTTACCTTTTGCCACTTAATACTTAAAACCTCAATAATTTGTTTGTAGGTATAATTTTTAATCTCTTTTAAAACTGTATTAATTTTATAAAAGTAAAAGCCAAAGAGATTAAAATGATATACATATGTAAAATCACATAAAAATAAAAATTATAGTAGATTTATTCTTAGTATACATATCTAAAATAATAATTTTACTGAAAATCACTGTCTCTAATTAGAAATTGGTATATAAATCAGTTAGTTGTTTTTAAATAATTGGATTTTAATTAAATTAAGATAAAATAAAAAGATCAACATAAAATTGGGAAAACTGATTGATTTTTGAGTTAAATATGTTTTATTAAAAAAAATTATAGATCAATTTTTTAATATAATTTTGTTATAATATATATATATATATATTATTTTTTTATCTCATTTTAATTATATAAATTTTAAATAATAATGATTTATATTACATTTTTTAATATAATTTATATTTATAATATTTATTATAAGATATAATATTTATGATAATAATTTTTATTTATGTTTTTTTTATAAAACATTATTATTAATAAATTCATTATATATTTATTATATTCTAAAAATATTATTTTATTAAATTTGATAGAACAAATTTGATAAAACCAGATTCAACTTTTAAGACAGCAGTCCAATTTTTAAAATTGAAAATAATAATTTATCTGATTAAGAATTAATATATAATTTTTATATATTCATTTATTTATATATATATATAATAATAATTATTATTATTATTATTATTATTTAAAATGGTATATATAAGGTCTAAAAGAATTTAAAATAGGATGAATAAAGATTTAAATGAATGTTTTTTTAATATGATTATAAAGATTAAATGAGTAATTAAATCTATAATTTAATGTTAATTAAACCATATTTTATGATGTAAGGGCAAAATGGCAATGGCAAATAGCTGAAAAATTATTGCATTGAGTAAAAACAACGGGATTGCATTCCAAATAAACAAGGAAATGAATAATCTTCGTAACTAATTTATATATACCAAATGAACAATTAAAAAAAACCATTACTTTACTAATAATGTTTCTTCCAAATCCGGGGTACGAATATATACAATTACAAATTGTACACCATTAACATCCATAACAGTATCAAGTAGCCATAGCTGCACCTGTCATTCCCGTATCTGTAAGATTCTCCCCTAAAAATCTAGCCACAATGGCATCCACATCCTCCAGGCCAACCCCAATGCAGAGAGGATTTGCAGGAATCTTAACAGAATCATCAAATCCCTGAGCAAGGCTATGATCAACAGAATTTTGAACTTTCACATTAGGAGCAGTTTTGCACTTGCCCATGCACTTACATGCAACAACAGCACCACCTTCAACACCCACCACCCTCTCAAACTCTTGCAACAATGCAGCAGCCCCTGATCTTTTGCACTTGTTACCCATGCAAACCTCAATCTTCTTCTGAGAACGGGTAGAAACTACAGCCCTCTCGTTCTTAATGCCACCATCTCTAACACTGCTAACAGAGATATCCTTCTTATAACACAATTCCACGGAATCACGATGTGAATTGTCGTCCTCAACAATGGGGGTCTTGGGTAGTGGGGATTCATCCACAGGTGCAACAGGGGCAACAACACTAACACCAACACCATCTCTGAAGTTGTTCATGTCAACCACTTGATCACAATCACAATCGCTGTCACTTGATTCAGACGATGAAGATGAAGATTCACACTTCATCTTGGAGGCTTTGAGTTTAGCCTTCTTCTCTTGTTTCTTCTTTTTCTTCATTTCCTTCTCTTTTGCTCTTGCTGCTTCCAGCTCTCTCAGTAACACGTCGCCAGCATCCTGCACGCAGTCAAACAACAAACATCATTTCAATTTTATTTTCTTGGGTGAAAAACTTCAACCATCATTATTAATAGAGTTCTATACATTGTTGTTTATATTCCTGTTAATGTAGTTATTATAATTAATAATCCTATTTTATATGATGCTGACTTTCTCCAATTATTGTCATTTCACAATTTTGATCTCCTTAATTTTATTTTATTTTTGCAAATTTTAAATTATGGGATTTATTTCATCTATGAACTTAACATCCTAATAAATGCCTTGACATGATATTTAAGATGGCATAATTAGAAAAAAAGAGAGAGATGAAGATCAAATTCAAAGATAAAGTTCACATAGAAATCAAATTACAGTAAATCGTAGAAGCAAGCAAGGAATAAAATCATAATTCTCAACAGCAACATGATAAAAAGGGAAAAAAAAATCTACGTAGGAGCAAGAAAGGAATAAAATCATAATTCCAAATCGTATTTCTCAACAGAAACATGATAAAAAGGGAAAAACAAATTTTACCGAGGTGAGATTTTGTTGAAGTTCATAGAACATGGAAAGCTTCTGAGGATCCGAAGCAAGCCCTAATTTGGAAAAGTCATTCAGTAGTTTCAACTTTTTCTTTGGAGAGAGAACCTTTTTAGTGTTTTGGTAATACTGCAGATGTCCCTCGTCACAGAAGCCAGAACCCGTTACCATTCTCACCGAAACACGAGGACCCACGCCACGGCAAAGCGTGTAGGACCTAGCACCGGAGACGTAGCTTACATGACGGAGAACGGTGCCGGAGATCTCCATGTGTGACGACGGTAACGACAGAGACGACGGTGACGAACGATGCAAAGTACTCTCTTTTCCAACCTTTTACTTCTTCGTTCTTCGCTATGATAATCTGCTAAAGATGGCTCTAAATCTAATCGACAATTGGGTTTTTTAAGGAAAAAAAGCTTACGTGGCTCACCCTTATTGGGTAACGATGACGTGGCTCACAATTTCTTTTAAATATGGTGGGCGCGTGACAGTTGTGGTTTCCCACGCATTTCCTTCGTTGGGCGCACGAATTAGTTTGATCTCAGCGGTTGGATGTACCGTCCAGCATCGTGCGGTGGAGATTCAAGCAGAGTGGCAACACGTGTTTTGATATTGATGACGTGTCACTGTTTAAAGAACACGTGTTGGACATGTAGGCATAGAAGGTGCGTTGGTTGTGCCAAGATCTAATTTGATGCATCTCCAAGAGATAATGATTATTAATTTTATCTCTTCTTATCTTTTTTAACAATTTCTTAACACACGTATAATTTTAGAAGTTGTTCAAGTAATAATAACTTATTATTCATTTTTGTAACAATACTATAAATTTAATATTTAAAATAAATATTAATAGATTCACGATATAAAAATCTTAACAGTCATAATAATGCCTGTGAATTAATCTGATTTTTGTGGGAAATTCTGCCAATAATATGTTTTGACAGAGTTTTTTTGTTAGTTAAAATCTATAGGAAATTACAAAAATTGTGGATATTGAATTTTATTTAGTTTTATAATTTTAAATAATATTTAATAAAAAGAGAGTTTATTGCAGAAACTCCTTATTTTTATCAATAGTAAACCCTAAATCCTAATATAATTTAAAGTCAATTTCATTTTTAAAGGTATAACATAATTTTATTCAAAGATAAAAAAATCCATTAAAAATTATTTTAATATAAAATAATTATTTTTACCATTAAAACCATAAGTAATGAACAAATTATATTAATTTATATTCAATATACTTAAACTATCTTAAATAACGAAGTTTTGTTACAAATAAGACCATTGATAAAATTACTTTGATGCAATAATTACAAGATCTGATTATACAAATATAATTAATATATAAGACGCATATCAAATTGAATTAATTTATTCTGATTCAATTAAATATATATATATATATATATATATATATATATTTACTTTTATTATTGCATTCTATTGTTTATATTAAATTTTCTTAATTAATAGAAATAATATTATTAATCTTTATAGCAATTACTTAAAAAATATTTTTTTAATGATTTCTAATGAATTATTATGTGATAATCTTTACTAAAGTGTTACAAAATTAAATTATAACTTATTAAACAGTAATAAAAAACTTTTATTTTCGGTAAATAGTAATTTAAGAAAAAAGATTTATTAACGTGAATTTCACACTTTCTTATGAAAAATTTCATTCCAACGGATATTATTTATTTTCTTGTTTCATTAAATATTTATTTATTATTTAAAGTAGTATTTCACTCTTATTTTTCTTTCATAATATTATTTTATAATAATTTAATAATTTAAAATAATAATTAATTTTAAAAATATAATAAAAATAAAATATAAATATTTAACTCTTATTCTTAACCTCTGTTCATCAACGGATTTATAGGTCTGATTTGAAAAAAAAATTATAAACAGAATTATTTGTTTATGTAATTACGCAGTGAAAAAAAATCGAGGTTCTTTAAGAGATAAGTGAAACAAATAAAAAATAGTTAATAACCATATAAGTAATAATAATAAAAAGTTTTGATTAATAGGATATTTATATTTATTTATGATAATTTTATAATAAATAATTAAAAATATTAAAATAATAATAAATATAATTATCAAATTTTGATAATTAATTTATTTAATAATAAATATGAAAGATAATATTTAATCAATTTTTTAAAATAAGTTATATTTAACTATTTTTATTAAATTTTAACTCAGGTAATAATACATTAAACTATCTAATTACTATTTCTTTATTTTCTGAATTTAATTTTTACTCTATGTTTTTATTCAAACAAAACAATAAAATAAAAATGAATCTTTTATATATATATATATATATATATATATTTTTTTTTTCTTTCTACCAAATACAGTGAATATTTCAATAATGGTACATTTGGCACTGAAGAAAGAGTGTTAATGGTAAGTACAAAACATAAACATTTTAACTAAGATTAGTATTTGTGATTTTTATCTCTAATTTAATAATTATTAAATATATTTAATTATATATTTACTTGATCTCACATACTATTATATTTTTATTTTATTTTATTTTATATATATATTAGCTAATTCCCAAGATTGACGACTGGTTGTAATTCCAAAATAAACATATTTAGTTTATGATGATAAATTCTAGTTTATTTTCATGGATTTAGTTTATGTTGATAAATTCTAGTTTATTTTCATGGATTTAGTTTATGTTGATAAATTCTAGTTTATTTTCATGGACCCAAATTACTTTTATAATGAAAAATCATGCATCAACTTTTCATCATCACTTTTACTCCAAATCAGAATGATTGTTACAGGCACAAAAGAAAAAGTCTGTTCCAATTAGCTTTTCATTCTTGAACAAAAAGAAGGTCAATTACCTGTAGAACTCGGGGGAAATAGTTTCAAAAGTGTTTTTCCCAAGCTCTACAAATTGATAATGACTGTTAAATTTTTTAAGTAACTGGCTCAACATTGATCAGATTCACCTTCAAAAGACAAAGTTTCTTCTTCTTCATGTTCTTTGTTACATGCACAATTAAAGTACCCTGAACTGAAGACCCTGTTCCTAAACTATGGGAGCTGACAGATTATTAGCTATTTGACCTTACTATATAGAGTGTTCTTTCTTCAGAATTTCTTGACGTCGAACAGGCACTGACATTGGAGATGAGAAAAAGAATAATGAATGTTTAATACCCACCTTTTGTAAGCATTAGTAGCAGAATAAAATATCAGTGGTTTCTCATGATTATGGTATGCCAGCCAGAAGTTCTCGAGACCCTGCTAGGTGTCGTGGTACACGTTGTCTTATCTCTTCAAAAGCACACATTGTTTCTGAGTCCAATCCTCCAGCAAACTACAAGAACATTCCAAAATAAGTGTGACAGCTTGATAAAATTGGTGCATGTAGTCCGTGTATCTATCAAAATAAGAGGACACCAAAGGTAACTAATATTTGATTCGATGAAAAATGGTGTTTTGATAACATGTAGTTCTTTTGGTGGTGCTTATTGGGAAAGTTTTGGGCTTCAACTTATGCTGTGATCTAGTCACAATATCTGACACTTACTAGTTACAGATTTCCAGCCCTCAAGTTGGAGGAAAGTCAGAAGTGATGATAAAAAGTCTGCAGAAAAATGCTACTAAATTACCTGATGAGCCCTATATGCAAAATGCACACCCTGAAGTAAAAGAGAATCTTGATTAGATTCTCTGTCCGAATTGCGACTGGATTCAAGCTCCATTGACACTCGTTTCATGTATGTCTTGACCAGAGTCATGGAAGCCTGCTTTATCTGCATAGTTGATATATTACTCATTAATACTAGTTTTACAAAGTAAATTTAGCATGTGCACACTTTCCTACTTATTCACAAAGACAACAACAGAAGAAGAAAAAAATATTCTAAGGGTTTCTTTGGAGAAACTTCTCCAGATCCACTTCTAGGAGAGAAAAACAAAGCAAAAAAAAAAAGGAAAGTAGTTTCTCATAAGTAACAATTATCTCATGCATGAACTTATTTGTAAAAATTAGTTCCTATTAACTTCTAAAGAATTGAAATTAGTTTTAATTCATGTATAAGTTAATTTTAGTGAGAAACTAATTTCATTTTTTCGTTAGAAGTGCTTATAAATAAGTATCCTCCAAACAAGCCCCAGGAGAAGAGATTGAAAAGCCATAAGAAACAAGCACGCTAAACAACTCATGATAACAAACGCGTGGATCTTGATCATTGGAAATGTATGGCAATCTCCTGTAGCTGTTGATCAGTGACAATATTTTGAATGAGAATGGATTAATACATCCTAAACAAATTGCATCCTTCATTGGATTTGTTAAATCATGACTAAAAGCAAAACAATTCATGGTGGCTGTATGAGGTTTAACGCAGAAAGGTTGAATGTTGAACATTGATCTCATTTCAGACATATATACTACGTTTATCCAATGTTCTCATGTCAAAGTTAAAGCATAAAAAATTATACCTTGCTCATTATTCCAGAATCAAGCATCCATTCAGTTGGAATGTTGAACCCTTGATATGAATGTATGACTGAACTTCGTAGCTTGATTAACCTCTGTATGTTCCTCTCAGACCTGTTACAACGAGATGTAAAGAGGGACAGAGTTACCTTGACCTGTAAATGTCATATCAGTGATCAATAAAATGGAACATATCTAACTTGTCTAATAGGCTGGCCATTTTTTTTAAGGCAGCTCCACATGCAATGTCAGGGTCATCCTTGTAGCAGGAAATTTCCTGTTCTAACATTTTAAGCTCATGATACTCAACTGCAGCCTCTCTCATTGCATCAGCTTTCTTCTCAGGCCACTTAAAATGCTTCAAGACAGCACGCTCATCAGCCTGCAGAATGCAAGATACAGAGCTACTAAGAAACCAGTTATTATTTATTGTTAGAAAAGTAGTTTTAAATCAAGAGGGGGGGGTGAATTGATTTTTGAAAGTTTTTCGCAATACACAGATTATCTAATTCGAAAATTAAGATTACTTATCAATTCACAAATCACAAAGCAATCAAACAGTTTAAGTGCAGCAGCAGAAATTAAAGAGAGAAAGGTTAGGAAAGATTTCACCGGTAATTTTATACTGGTTCACCCAATACCAGGGCTACGTCCGGACTCTAGCCAAATTCCAGTTGGGTTCCACTAGAATAGATGTTTTACAGACTCACCCTCTTACACCTATTCTAACTCTCCACCAAGAACCAAATTCCAGCTCTTGGAAACCTCTCGCAACCAAATTCCAGCCGCGAGAGAAACCGAGTGCCCAAATTCCGGGCACCACACACAAGAACCAAATTCCAGCTCTTGCTTTAACCTTTCCACCAAGAACCAAATTCCAGTTCTTGGCAACTTTCTACAACAGTTGCAGAAAACTTGTACCCAAATTCCAGGTACAAAACGAGTACAAATGAATGAATAGAAATTTAAAAGAAGAAATAAAGAAAGCTCAAACCGGATTACACCAATCCACGATCAGTTTCTTCTTCAAAGAAATGCAAAGTGCCTCAAGAAAGATTTCAAAAGAAGTTCACAAAAACAGTTGTGTATCTTTCTTGAAAAATGCTAATAGTTGCTTGTATTGATTGCTTGAATTGTGTCAAAGCTGATATGATAAAAGTTCCAAGCAATTACTGTTTATAAAAGAGTATTTTCAAATCTGCTGCATTAATTAATCTGTTGAAAGTTTGTTTTAATCTGTTGAAATAGCCGTTACAATCTGTTAAAAGTCCTTTCAACCCATTAATGCGTTCTTGATCTTTAACGAGAAAATGTTTTAGTTGATACGACCACGTTTTTATCGGTTAAAACGTTTTACAAACATTTTCTAAGTATAAAACAATCGATTGAATCACGTATTAATCGATTGATTTGTTTAAAAACCTCTTTATAAAACTTTCCAAGTTATTTTAGCTGATATAAAGTCGTTTCAATCGATTGAAAATCTGCACAGAATTTTTCTAAGTTGTTCTAATCGGTTGAAATACGTTTTAATCGATTGAAAAGATTTTCTAAGTTATTTTAATCGATTGAAATACGTTTTAATCGATTGAAACAGATCTGATCGGTCATAATTCAATTCTGATCGATCATATCCAACTCTGATCGGTCATAATCTCATTCTGATCGATCATCCTGACATCCAAAGTGATTTTAATCGATTGAAACGTGTTTTAATCGATTCAAATAATTCTGATCGCTCATATTTAAGATCTGATCGATTATATTGCATTCTGACCTATTACATTCGAATTCTAATCGGTCATAAAGAGTTTTAATCGATTAAAAGAAGTTTGTATCGATTAAAATATTGTAAAAACACTTTTTAAAACATTCTAAGTGTTTTAAATTGATTCTTTCAAACCTTTATCAGTTAATAACTTGTTTAAGAAAATTCTTTGCCAAAATGCTTTTGTTTTTTATTTGTTTAAAACTATTTTTGAGGCATTTTGCAAATTGAGTGAAGAAGCTTTATGCAGTGGAAAAGGTAAAGTGGTTTTACCTAAGCTTTCTGTTTAGACACACTAAGTCTTCAGCTCCTTTGTTCTGAGTGACTTGTTTGACTGCTGCAGAGTTGACCTTTGACTTTATCTTTGACTTCATCAAATCAATGAGATCTTTGCTAGGATCACTTTCATTTATGTTGTACCACCTGATTACAACATTACGTAAAACTGGCATACTTCTATGAATCTTGAAGTAATGCCTCATTCTCTGGTGAAACTACATTAGATATACACTATTAAAAATTTATATTCAATATCTTAATTTATGCAGTTTTGCACAACCACCTCTCCTTGTAGGGCTTAGATCGTTTATGAAGGTTAAACTAAATGAAGGGGAAAACTCAATGAACAGGAAACTATGCATAGATCATACCATTTTTTGTCTTGGGAAAGGAAGGGAGGATGACGTTAAATGCTAAATCAATGAGCCTATCTTCAGTGTCCATATAAAATATTGCCTTCATTTCTTGTTATATGTCACTTTTGAAGAAAAAAGATATCTCTATTTATCTGTCATCAATTATTATTTACTTACTATATCTTACAAAAAGAGAACGAGAAAAAAAAGTGTAAAGCATATCAAAGTAACAAATAAGAAAGATACTAGGAAATTTAATAAACATAAGGAGATTTAGTACTTTGCTTAACCTGTGTTATAAGTGGAATAAAATTGGATATCTTACATGATAAGTAATTAACACATATTGGGCTGCCAGATAAACAATTTTGCTAGAAACTTACCAATGATGATAGTTTTGCATCAAGCCAATTAACAAACTTTAGGACCTCTTCAATATCCGTGAAAGCTGCAGCTACTACTTTCTTGATGAGGTCATTAATGAACTCTCCTTTTGTTTCAATGTCAGTCCTTATCTGGAAAGGATGGTCAGCTATTACTCTTTCATTAAATAGTAGTACGCATCTCAAAGTTAAAATCACATTCAATGCAAAGCTTACTGCTAAGAGGTGAGCTGAACGGTTTTGAATTTCTCCCACAATGCTACTGTGTGCACTAATAACTACTGGTCTCTGATGATTCACGGATCCTTTTGAGTCTATCTTCCCATCTTTATTCTTCAAGGAGTGAAATAGTTCAACAACTGCAGGGGCCTTTTGGGTGTTACCTAATCTTGCTGAAGGCCAAGATGGAATCGGCGGCGGCGGAGGGGGCTGCAGGCATGCGTTGGTCAGAGAATTTCTTCCTACACTTGTAATTGGTGGTGGTGGTGGTGGAGGTGGAGGTGGCTGTAGGTATGTATTGGGTGGAGCTTTTCTTCCTATACTTGTAGTGTCATGGAGGGCAAAACTCGGGGTTGGTGAACGAATTGATGCTTTAGCAAAAATTACTTCAGGAGTACCTTCCTTTTTTACTCTAGACAGTTCCAATTTGTCAGCAATGAGTTTCTGTATGTCTTTAAACTTGGGACTCTGGTGTTCTCCAATTGACTCCTTCTTCATCCAAGGTTAAACACAGATTCATTTCCAAGTAGTGGGTCACATAAAAGTTTATGTATAAAACAGACACATGATCTTATTTTTGTACTACAGGGTAAGTTTAAAGAGCAAACAACATGAAAAATATAATCAAACAGTGATTGATGACTGTAATAAACGAATTAACCACACTTGGAAATGTAAACCCAAAAAGAAAATTACAATACTTAATTGGAACTTTGGAAGGAGATTCAAAGTTTGAGAAATTATTTTATGGTCCAAAACCTCTTCATGACCTTGGTCTCGATCAATCTTCAAGAGTGACAGGTAGTCGTGTATTTCAATTTATGATAAAAATTAAGAAAGTTCGGATTATTTGTCATGTAAAGATTAACTGGGACTATGCTGGTCAGGAAAAATGTAATAATTTCTCTTAGAAGTTCAAATATTCTGAGACAAAACACAGCAAATTCTCACCTTTTCACTGTGGCCAGTGCCAACAGTTGCTTCCTTAGCTTCAGCGGCAGCAAGGCTCTGAGTTAGCTTTGTGTTCTGAGACTCAAGCTCCACATTCAAGCTCTTAACTTTATCCAATTCCTCCTTCAACGAAAGCACCTCAGATTGCAAACTCTTGATCAAATTCTCACTCACGTCAAGCTTCTCCTGCAACTCCTTGTTCTTCTTCATCCTATAAGGATCATCATCTTCACTCTTCCTCAAACCAAAATCCCCAAGCCTTCGCCGTGGCCGAGCAACAACAACAACCTTAGCTTCCTCAGCTTCCCTACCCTTTTGAGACCCCACAACAGCACCCCTTTTGGCCCTTGAAACGTCCTTCAAGTCTGGGGGCACTGACTTAGCTCTGGTTGATGATGACTCTGGTGGCGACTTTGGAGCCTTGGGAGAAGCTCTGAGTCGCGGCTGCGTTGGACTCTGCAGGGACTTGTTGTTGTCACCTTGCTTCTTCAACGCAGTTCTTGCAGTGGTTGGTGAAGATGGCTTTTTATGCTTCATGACTCAAAAGGGTCTGTCTGATGAGAGATGGGAAAAAGATCAAAGAGCGAAAAAATAGAAGAATGTTGTGGAGAGGCTCTGTTTGTGTGAAACGGTGAAGGTGGCAGTGCCACGCAGAAGCAAGACATAAAAAGATTATGGGACAAGCGTGTCCGTGTGCGTGAAAGAGAGAGTGCGTGCCACCTCGTGACAGAACAGGGTCGCCATAGATGAACAAAGAATACCTTCAAACCGAACCAAGTACGTAATCAAATACACTTTCTTCTCTCTTTCAACTGCAAACTCACAATTATCAATTGAAAAATGACACCTTTTCTTTCATTCAACGCACAAATTCAAAAAGAGAAAACATGTCATTCATTTCATTTTAACCATGTTATCCTACTAATATTTATTGCACCACACAATGACAAATACCATTAACATTCATGAACACAGTATTCCGATCTCTTCCTAATGCATTCCCTAAACACATGCAATACATTTAATAGTTTATTCTTGGACGAGATTATCAAAATGTAACTTAATTATTGCATTTGTATTAATAAAAAATTATTTGAAAAATGAGAGTATATATAATCATTATTATTATGTTATTTGATATCTCAATTATTTGGACATCTCAAAATGATATTATAAATTCCTCTAATAATTTTTTATGTTGAAATATAAAGTGGGAAAAGGCAGTGTTTTTGTTTTATTATGTGTCTTTGTATGTAACATATGTAAGACAACAGCTAGCAGAGTGTAGCAGGTCTAACAAAGCTCCAACTTCGTACACTCCATTCAAAATTTTAATATGTGAATTTGGATTTTGTTTACATAATATAATCACAATTCACACACAAACAAATGGTTGTTTTTGGTCTCGTGATTCATCATAGGATTCACTCAGAAAATAATACAAATATATATCTTATTTTCTATACAATAAATGAGACTATCTAAATCACTTAAATATATATTGAAAGTATATATTTTAGATGAGAATGTCTCATCTCAATTCCAATATTTAAGGTATTCTTTATTTAATTTTTTATTATGTAAATTTCAATGAAAATAATTATAATAATTATAATTTAATTTTTTAAAACAATAGTTTTATATATTAATATATATAGAACTGTAAAGGCATTTTTTCCAAAAAATTGTAAAACAATTACATGTTTTTAAATTTATTATATTAATTTTTAACTAGTACTGTACATTTATTTTTACCTTTTATATCTCTTCTCTTTTAAAAATTAATATAGAATATCAAATTAAGTTTAATAAATTAAACAAATAAATTTTAATAAAAAATTGACAAGCTAAGTTTTTAATCTACTCAAACACATACGTGTATATATAAATTTTTAATTAAATATCTTATTTTAACTTTTCACTCAATTTCAACTTATTGAGAATAATAAAGGAGTTTCGTCACAGTTATTGTTAATTATAATTTATTTTAAATTTAATTAAAACAAAAACACATCACTGAATATGACCCAACAAATCACAGTAAATCAAATGAACTTCAATAATGAAAATGAAAAAAAAAACATACACACAAAATTAAAAATAAACTAGAGTCTTATGAGATTTTTAGATTATCTTTTAATTTTATTATTCAAAAATATTTCTTTCCGAAGATAGACCTGTGCCATTTGAATATATATATATACATATATATATATATATATTTATTTATTTATTTATTTATTTATTTCAAATATTAAGTTGCAGAGGCGAAGTTGTTTCTTTTATTAATTTCTAAGTGAAATTATTTGTGGTATCACGTTTCAAAAATCAAATTGGGTTGGTGTCACGTTTCAAAAACCAAGTAAATTTATTATTGCATATTTTATCTTTAATAAATTTACATTCTTTATTTTATCTTAAAAATATTATGTCCGGAATTTATAATATAAAATGATAGAGAAATTAAAGATAATATTACACAGAATACAGTAAAATTATTAAAATAAAAAGAAAGAAAGATATAAAGTATCTATCTAACTCAATCAAAGGTTTAGGTTTTATAATATTGCATAAATTTAAAACTTTACACTAGAAGTTTTATTTCAATAACAAAATTTTTCAAGAGTATTATAAATAAGTTCACATATTAATCCCATTATAAATAATTAAATTGGAGATTATTTAAATTAAAAGTAAAGTTTATCTTTTTATTATTATTTTTTAAAATCTTATTTTTAGATGTACCCATTAGGAAAAAAGTGAAATTGATTATTTTGATGAGTAAGATGAATGCATGGGAAAAGAAGGCATTGATGGGGGTTGAAGGGGACAGAAAGGTCTCTTACAAGGGTAGAAGTGTTCTTTTGAGGATATGGATCCCAATGTCTTAAAAATGTCAAAATCAAATTTATGAGACTCCCCCTTTTCCTTATCTTCAATTCAAGAACCAATGGACCACATATTAAATAAAGCTAAGACCTTTACAAAGCTAAACTCAAAATAAAATATAAAAATAAAGACGTGAGAATGATCTGTGTGCACCCCAAATCCAAGAAATTCCTAGGATCAAGTTTTCCCCCTGTGCACAACTTTCTTCAGAAAGAAAATCCACTAAAAAAAAAATGCTCACAACACAAACCTATATTTATTAATTAATATAAGTATGTAATTAAAATTTATTTATGTCCAAGTTCTCCCATGTTTATTTCTTGAATCCGTTAGTTTTGTTTTTTTCTGGCGTGTTGTTTAAGAACTATTATTACTTTTAAGAGAAAAAGAGAGTTAAGGAATCTCAATATTTAATTTGCGTGAAAAGACACAAAAGAAAGTGGGTATCATAAGCCATAGACTTCAATTCCTTAAGCCTCAAAAAGAACAAAAAGGAATTATGTTTCTTTTCACAAAAGGATCACTATAGATGGTTAATTCAATATTAATCCTAGACATGTTTTCAGATGTTTAAGAGTTTAGCATTCATGGAAATAGCATATCTTACGTGTTAACAATTAATGTTTTCATTCAAAATCAAGTTATAAGAACTTCAATGTAAGTGATTTGTGAGATGACGTGAATGTCACAATGGCCATCATCTGTGCACCAAGTTTGACTGCTCTCTGTAGCAGAGAGTGATCCCTCAGATGGGTTGAACCCGAATGTTTGTCAAGCTTAATGCATATGCCAAAGAGGGTGTTATAAAAATTTTCACATCAGACAAAATGCATAGTGAAAAGGGGCACCCGTGAAATGAGAAGAACTATGTCTGCAGTGTCCACACGTGACAGTTCATGAAAGTGAGAGAAAAATGAGTAGCAGAGCAGCTGCAACAGCTAGATTTTAGAGCCACCTCATACTACTCTCAGTGCTCGATATATGCAGTTCTTTTGTACTACATACTGCATAAGGGAAATGCAAACAACATCTTTACTGAATCACATGTTTGTCTTGTTTTGACACATGAGGACCATCAACCACGCACCATCATCTCTCATCTCTTTGTTAAACCCCCCCTTTAGTACACTACATAGATTCATGCAGAATTTGAGAAATTATTTAAGTCCTTTGTATAGTCTTTATTAGTCTTAACACATTTATGTATAGATATGGAGACCATTTGAGCCTGCAGCTCTCGCTGTTTGAGAGGGATCAACATAACAGAGACTAGTTAATTAACCAAATCAAGCATATATGATAGGGGTATTGCTCAACTTTAAGAGAAAAGTGATTTATTTATGAATGCAGTGTTTAAATTATTTCTTGCAAAAGCTAAAAAAGTAACCAAAAACCTGTCAAAGGAGTTCACACTTCACAGTAATATTGCAGTCTTGAAGCCTTAAGGAAGCCCTTTCCAATCCTTGACAACTAAATTTCCTTCATGTTGTCATCATCTAGAAAGAAATCTGAAGATAAATCAGTTGAATGTAAGAAGGAGATAGTTGTATGCATAGATAATTATGACTATACTGTGTCTGATGAATGACTAATGTACATGCAGAAACAAGGTGTGAGGAAGGGACCTTGGCTTTCAGCTCTTGTTCCACCATTCACCAATTAGTGGAGGAGGGTGTTAGCTTGTCTTATATGTAAGTTTCTTTGTGGCAGTTGATCTTGATTGTGAGAGAGATGGAAATGTAAAAGGCAGAGAAAGGCTATGGAGGAGAAAAAAAGGGAGGTAGGGGGTTGAGTATATGAGTAATAGGTGATATTTCCTTTGAAGGAATACTTCAAATATATAACAAAAAAATTTCCAAGTTTGTTGCCACTTCACATCACATAAGGTGTCATTTGTTAATGCAGTTGTGATTTAAGAAATAGGAATGCCACTTTTATCTTTGAAATCCCTTGTCTTTTTTGTAACTTGGCTCTTTAACACACGTGCTAAAATTCTATCCCCTTTTTCAATTGAGGTTTGAACTCAAAATTAATCCTTTTTTCTGGTAGGTACATTGGCCTAATTACAAGTATCTTAAGATGGGAGACACCCCTAAGGGTCCTTATCAAACTGGTTTTAATTTCTTAACAAACTTGAGTATATCCCTTTTGTTACAAATTTTCTTTGTCTTTTTCCAACAGATAATTGGCAGAATAATACAATTAATTACATTTCAAGCTTCAACTTGTTCATCTTTGGTGGCAGTTGTGAGTATAATAACATTTGTGCTTGTTGGAAGCTTGCAATGTTGGTGCAGCAGGAATCCCCATCATGTGTTCATGGACCTTGTGATTATTATCAGCTACAATCAGTTTTTTGTACTTCTGTTAAGAACTTATGGTTCCTCACCCAGAAAGTTATCCACTTTTATGGTATTTTTCATTCTACACTCTTCATGTTGCATTGATCTTTCTTCCTTGAGGAACACAGTTGCCATTTTGTTAGGAGCATTTCTTCCATCGGGTGCTTACCCTACTAAGTCATTGTAATAAGGCTAAGAAAATGTTATATATTTATAGTTTCTTTTTATTTATATGTTACAAAAATTATTCATTTTTATATGAAATTCCAATTCATGTGTGAACTTAACAATTTGATAATAAGACACAAATTGTTTTGTAATAACAAACGTAATTCCAAAAGGAGTTATTGTGAAGTTTGACTCTTGGAGTAGTGGGGTTGGGTGTGTGATGTAACAATAAAAAAGTCTACCCTTTGGTTCACGGCAAATAGAGTCTTCACTCTTCTATTGGTTTTTGGTGAAATCTATTTTCATGATTATGTTGTGATAAGTAAGATTCAAATTCAAAATCTTGTTTAAGAATATCAAATTAAGTTTCAATCTATCAACTTTTTGATAAATTTTTCTTATTTGTTTCAAGATGTGAAAAAAATAAAATAAAAATGAACGATGCTTTTCATCTTTGGTATTTGAAAAATATCAAATGAAGGAAATATATGAAATTGAGATTTTTATACCACTTTTTTTATTAATTGTAGGTCCTCAATTTTTTTTTTTTTTAACCCTAAACCCTCACTCGGTCAAGTGCATCTTGAACCACTCTGTCAGATTCATCATCAAGTGCACTGATGGCTTCATCTAGCAGTAATATTTTTGGATTCTTGACTACGGCTCTTGCAATTGCCACCCGCTGCTTCTGCCCTCCTGATAGTTGAATCCCTCTCTCCCCTACTACTGTATCATAACCCTGCATGTGTTGTTTTTCTAGAATTCAGAATTTTGTTTCGAAAGGTGTTTAGAAATGGATAATTTGTTATTCAAATATTTGCCTTATAATTCTTTGTTGAACAAGTCTTATGAACAGATTCAGTTCACTGCATAGTGTGTATTTTACCTGTTGCAAACTGCTAATGAACGTGTGGGCATTTGCTCGGATGGATTCATTAAACAATATTGGTTCCTGGCTTACCAGGCCCATCTGCTGCCTAAACCGTTTAAGTTGTAGATTTCGGATTTCTGATCCATCTAGTGTAATCTGACCTGATTCTGGGTCATAAAATCTTTGCAACAATGTGATTATTATTGACTTTCCACTTCCACTTTCTCCAGCTAGAGCAACTGTCTGATTTCCATCAGTATAATCAAACTCTAAGATTCTCCCTAAAGAGAGACCTAGATAATTTTGTTTAAAAAGACTCATGTTTTCCTATGAGAATTATGCATCAAATAAACAAAATGTATCAGTTGGTAAGTTACCTCTCCTGCATGAATGGTGAAGGAGAGATATCTGAACACAAGCACATTAAGCCTGGTTGGGTACTTGAAAGTGACATGGTGAAACTCAATCTCTCCCCTCACTTCTTGCAACATCATTCCGGACTCATCACTGGGGTCTATATTTGATTTCTGCTCAAGAATAGAAAATGTAGAAGCCATAGAATTTTTTGCTTTGCTCGCACCCGGGGCCCTGAAGCCAGATTGTAACATTGCTATTGCTGCCATTGTGAGAGTGAAAAATACCTGAAAATTAGAGAGTGAATTGTTCCATGCTAGTAGAATGTGATGAGCATAGCTCTTAAATTATTTATGATGTTTATTTAAAAGAAAAAAAAAAAGAAAAAAACATATATTAGCTTATACTTTGTCAGCAACAATTTAGATAAGTAGAAAAAGAGTATATCTGAAATGGTGTTAAGGATAGAATTGACTTACTCGGAAAACATCAATCTGAGATTGATGTTTTGCCATTCTCAACAAGTCGGGCTGCAGCATAAAAGCTGCCTGCATTTACTGAGAACACTAAGAAGAGTGATATTCCAAAACTTGTTCCGCTGACTAAACCTTGCTTTATGCCTGTCTGGATGGGTCCTGAACATTTCTTCTGGTATAACTCCAGCACCTTCTCTTCTGCACAGAAAGAAGCTACTGTTCTGATATTCCATACTGCAACATATACAGCACATTGAACATTGATCAAATGGATGTTAGTACTAATTAAACACAGGAGACAATATCCTTTCCTTGCCACATCATTCCAACCACTTGAATTGGACTTACCTTTGGATCTAAGCATGGTAAGACCAAAAAGTTCCACTTGCAATCAATTAGCTTTGATGAATGGTTATCTTTTTTTTTGTTTATCTTCTGGTTACCCATTTGCCCATTTCAATATAAGTTAGGTGATAGAAATAGGTCTGATTAATTCATTTAGGTTGCATTTCGATCCAAAGTTTCCTGTCACCCTTTTCCCACACCAAGTCTTAAATTTAGATATTTTCACTAGTTTTTATACTTGTAGTTTAGTTTGATGCGATTTACTTGCAAACCTTTGCATCACTGACAAATCCTTGCATGGAGCCCATTTGCAGTTGTCCATTTACTAATAATAGAGGTAGCAAAACAATAATGATGAGAGAAAGCTGCCAGTTTGCCTCAAAGGCAATTGCGAAGGCTATAATTACTGTAGCAATATCTTGAACCACTAAGCCAGCAGCCATGCCGTCTTGCACTGCAGTCCTGTAAGCTTTGATTAAGGGTTGATCGTATTGAGCTATAACTTGATTCTCATCCTGTAAATGATGCAACCTGCATTGGAGGAATGTGTATCTTTTTTATGCTTCTCTCTTGCAACATGTAAAAAAACAAACTGACAAGTTTAAATATAAAGATTGGCATACAGTTCGAATTAAACCAATTGTGCGATCTACTACCGTTGCTGCTTGTGCTGCTTCAGAATAAGCTGCTTGTCCACGGGATGCCAACTTTGCGAAAGTAAAGCTCATTATCGAGTTGGAGAGAACAAGAGGTGGAATACAAGATAGAAGAACCAGAGTTAGGAGCCAACCCTTGACGCTATACTGTACCTCCTAAAAAACATGCCACACACTGGATGAATTTTCCTACCTGGAATATCCCACAAATAAGAAAGAAAATGTTATCCTTTTTTTACTCATAGATGAAATGGTGATACTTTGGGACTTGAAGAGTAGTCCATTAATACCCTCTCTCCCATGGCTTCTTGAATAAGAAGAACTGTGTCACCTGACATCCTTCCAACAACCTCACCAGTATTGGTTTCCTTGTCAAAGAATCTGATATCTTGCCTCGAAATTGCTTTGAGGTATACGCCTCTTATTCTCGCTACTTGCCTCTCCCCATTGGACACCCAACAAGCCACCTCTGTAATAGTGCATGCATGAATAGCTCCTTTTATTGTTATATAAGAACAAATTTTCTTTCTAGTTATACAATATGCACAATGAGCGGACAAGTGGCATGCTTACGTAAAAATGCTGCCAGAAAGAAAGCTACACCTAGTATTGCAAACTTCAGAGACACCTGAGCATGAAACAAACCATTATGTGTTATGACATAGACATGAGGGGAAATTGAAACCATATCGTTCCTCTCAAACTTGAATTAATTCTCATGCAATTAAAGCAACTTCCATAACATTGTTGAACAGAAAATAGAAAGTTGGAAAGTGGTAATTCAGAAATTTTGAATAAAAATTACTCACAATTGTCTGGTTCAACAAAAATTTAAACAATTGGAGGTGGATTACTGTACAACAACTCATTTTCACCTACTCATGCAAAGGTTTTAGGTTTGGTCTAACAGCCCGATAGTAAAACTATTCCACATTTGTACTTTAGCCTCTACTAAGCAACAGGGGAAAGCATTCTATATCACTATTTTCTTCTCCTGCTTACATGGACAACTTGCTTAATAAATTCCTATGAGTATTTTGAACATTATTGGTTTAGAACAAATGGATGCTATTTATTACCTTGGAAACTTCATAAACTACATGTTTAGCGTTACCATTTCCTCTAAAAGCATCAATTGCTTCTCCCATGACTATATTTGTTGAAGCCTTGGTTATTTGATTCCCAGTAGTGCTTATTGTCCCAAGAATCATCAGTAGATAATCTGAAGAGTCTGCAAATGAAAAAAGTTTCTAATAGGGTACTGTTTTGTTGCTTTCGTCCTTCACCTTGTTCTTCTTGGAATCTTGCTGCCTTGCCATTTCTTGGGTATATTCAGTACCTACAACTGGTGAATAGCTAATTTATTCTTGATCCTCTTATCTCAGTTGAAATAATATCTTCATCCAAAGCTGACCTTGGCCACCATATTCCCCAAGGAAAACCTCTGCTGGTTACCACTTACAAACACCTCAAGAAAGCAGCTATTGAAGAAAGCTCATTAGTTTGAGACTTCTATTTAGTTTTTCCATCAAAAGTCACCACTGAAGTGATTTATCATTCTTTAGACGTCAAAAGCTACAAAAGGCAAGCAAATTGGAAATAAGTTGACTCAAACAAATTCAAGAATACACATGAATGAAGATCAGAGAGGAAAAGAGAAAAAGAATTTAGCAGTGGACCTAAATAGGACAGAGAGGAAATTAAGATGCTAGGTCCACCTGCAAAACCAACATGAATGATCAAAGCACCTTCGAAATCAAAAACATAGATTAATGATCAAAGCACCTTGAAAACTATGAAAGTCCTCACGTAATCAATTATGGTAAACCATGACGGAAGTGTCAGACACTAGTTTGAGGCTGGGAAACTTGAAAACGTGGAGTATTAGGTTCTTTTGTCAAAGAAATGAGAAAATTACTATTCCAAAAATTACATAAATACTCTTTATTTTTTTATTCCCACTTTTATTTTCTTTAATTATTTGAAAGCTATTAATTGAAACCCTTTTTATACTACAATAGTTTTTTTAATTGTTTGAAATACATTATATTGCTATAAAGGAGAGATTAGTGTATGTATTAAAAAAATGAAATATTTGTGTAATTTCGTCATATTTCATTAATATCCTTACTTTTTCCCAAATGATCTTAGTTTTGTGTCACTTTAATATCATGTTTTATGGCTAAGGGCCTAACCGAAATAGATATGTCATCGGATGCGTCCTTTGTATTTAATTGGAAGCTTCTATATGATCTTAAGAGATACTTCATCTCACAAGATAAGTTCTAATCTGCAAGTATTAGTTTTTTCTATTGTTTTATGTTATGTAATTTGTAAATTAATTTCAGCACATGCTTATCATACCATTTGGTTTAGATGCTTGTGGGTGTCATCTGTACCGTTGGAGCTAGATCAATATGATGAAAAGATGTGTGACCACAATTTCATTATAAATGGACGATAATTGTATATTCATTATGTAGGAATAATGCTTTAAAGAAGAGATTAAGAAACCACCGGATGATTGGTGCTATGAACCAAAAGGGTCTATGATGAAGAAGCACTGATATGCAGTGCTACTAAGGAAGCATATGTACCACCTTTGTTAAATAAAGTGTCATGTTTTCCTTTCTCTGCAATGACTCCATTTTTAACCACTGCAATTGAATCTGCATCTTTTATGGTGGATATCCTGTGAGCCACCACAATGGTGGTTTTGTCCACCCTCACTCGGTCAAGTGCATCCTGAACCACTCTTTCAGACTCAGCATCAAGTGCATTGGTGGCTTCATCTAGCAATAATATTTTAGGACTCTTCACTATGGCTCTTGCAATTGCCACCCGCTGCTTCTGCCCTCCCGATAGTTGAATCCCTCTCTCCCCCACTAATGTATCATATCCCTGTAAATGTATATATATGATGCTAGTGATTCAAAATTGTACAGTATAAATTTTTATTGAATATTGTGTTGGTTACCTGCTGCAAACTGCTGATGAACTTATGCGCATTTGCCAGTTCTGCTGCAGCTATAATTTCAGCTTCTGTTGCATCACCACCTTTTCCATATGCAATATTGGCTCGAATGGTGTCATTGAGCAACACAGGCTCCTGGCTTACCAGACCCATCTGCTGCCTAAACCATTTAAGTTGTAGCTTTTGAATTTCTGTTCCATCCAGTGTGATCTGACCCGAATCTGGGTCATAAAATCTCTGTAACAATGAGAGCATTGTTGACTTTCCACTTCCACTTTCACCAACTAGTGCAACTGTCTGTTTTCCATCAATATAATCAAATTCTTAGATTCGCCATTAAGAAAGGCTGTCCAGAAGAATCATGTATTCCTATTTAAGCATCAAACCAAGAAATAATGTGGTTTGTTACCTCTCCTGCATGTATAGTCAAGGTAAGATCTCTGAATACAAGATCATTAGGCCTGGTTGGATACTTGAAAGTGACATGGTGGAACTCAATCTCTCCCTTTACTTCTTGCAATGCCATTCTAGATTCATCACCGGGGTCTATTCTTGATTTCTGATCAAGAATATCAAATATAGATGCGACAGAACTTTTTGCTTTACTGGCAGCTGGGGTCATGAAGCCAGATTGTGACATTGCTATAGCTGCCATTATGATAACATAAAATACCTGAAAATTAGGAAATTAATTGTTCATTGCAAGAAGAATGTGATGAACTTAGCTATTAAATTATCTATGATGTTTGATTTTAAAAAATTGAAATTTACTTGAGTTGGTAGCTTATGCTTTGTCAGAAAAAAAATTAGATAATCAAATATTCAACTCTGAGGTTGTTACGAGGATAGGAACACAGGAAAATAGCTTACACGAAAAACATCTGAGAATGATGCTTTGCCATCCTCAACTAGTCTTGCCCCAACATAAAAGCTGCATGCATTAACGGCGTACAGAAAGAAGATTGATAAACCAAAACCTATTCCGCTGATTAAGCCTATCCTTATAGTTGTCTGGATTGGTCCTAAACATTTTTTCTGGTACAACTTAATCAACTTCTCTTCAGCACAGAAAGCGGCAACTGCTCTGATATTCCCTACTGCATCATTCGCTACTTGACTTGCTTCCTCATATAGTTTCTGTGGATAATATAGATCAGAATAACATTCAATATGGAAAAAAAATTAAACATATACAAAGATGTTGCAGTGTTGAGATCACAATTGAAACATGGTTGATTCGTCCTTGTGAAGTAGTTTGTTTGGGTATATGCAGAAAGCACAATGCAGCATACACCAAGAAGATAAATAAACTAATCCCTAACATTGTATTTCAGGTAAGTATGTCTGAAATTTAGATATTTTCATCTAAAAATTTAAATCTAAAGTTTCCCATCACCTTTTTCCCAGTATCTAGGTCTGAAGTTTGGAAATTTTTACAAGGTTTCGTGGTAAGTAGTTGACAGTTTCATATCAGTAAGGGGCAAACCTTTGCATCTCTGCTAAAACCTTCCATTGACTTCATTTGTACATATCCGTTTAGTAATACTAGAGGTACCAAAACTAGAATGATTAGAGAAAGCTTCCAGTTTGCCTCAAAGGCAATTACCAAGGCTGTAAATGCCGTAGCGAAATCTTGAACCAACAAACCAAGAGCATCCCCAACCAAAGTTCGAATGGAAGCTGCATCAGTTGACAGCCTTGCTCCAAGTGCTCCACTTGAATTTTCATCTTTATCAAACCAGCCTATTTCCATGTGAATTATTTTCTCAAAACACATCAGCCGGATCCTTTTTATCAACTTAGCACCAGCTATAGCAAAGCAGTAGGACCTTAATGGAAGAAATATGAAGGCACTCATACTAAGGGCAACAAATATTAGCGCCCAAAATTTTGAGTCTTCACGGAGTTCATCTGCAGGCTCAAAGAAAGTATTTATCATGTGGGAAACAAGAAGCCCCATCGTGGGTTGTATTGCGCCAGTTGCTGCTGCTGCTAGAGTCCCCACGAGTAACACTGGGATTTCAGGTTTGTTAAGATAAGCAATGCGGACTAATGAAACTTCTTGAGGCTTATGCGAAGCTGATGGAGGAAGAACTTTAGGCCCTTCTTCTGATGTTTCAAAGAGATCTAGTGTGATAGGCATGGCATTTGACATTCTGACCGAGTGCTGACTGTTGTTTCCTCTTCCAGATGATTCTGTGCTCAAAGATTGAAGGGAAGAAAGTCGTTCGCTCAATTTTTTTTCAGAATCTATAATGTTTTCTGGCCGGCCAGAGTCATTTGAATCATGCTGTTCAAACTCCCTTTTAATTTCTTGCAATCTAATGAGCTGGCTAAAAGCTCCATCAGGATCTTTAGTGAGTTCAGCATATGCGCCTAATCAAATTGAAAGACATATAAGAAAGAAGCAATGTATGTCAAGGAAATTGAAGACAATGACATATGTATGGGGAGCATGATTTGAAAGCAGATTGTTAAACTTAGTTTCACTTCTGTGGCAACAGATTACATTTTGGTATGTATACCTTTTTCTTGTAGTTTTCCTTGATGAATAACTGCAATCATATCAGCATTCCTGATTGTGCGTAAGCGATGGGCTACAATGACAGTTGTTCTGTTGATCATAATTCTGTCCAGTGTCTCTTGAACCACTCTCTCTGATTCTACATCAAGAGCACTTGTAGCTTCATCAAGGAGAAGAATTCTTGGGTCCTTTAGAATTGCTCTTGCTATCGATATTCTTTGTTTTTGACCTCCAGAGAGCTGAGTCCCATGCTCGCCGACCATAGTCTCGAGTCCCTAAAAAAACTCACAGTTTTACAAAATAAATGAGATAAACATGCCTCCTACTAAATCCAACAAACTTAGAAAGATTAAAGATTAATTATAAGCTCACATGGGGAAATTTATGTATGAACTTAGCAGCATTAGCAAGTTCAGCTGCAGCTCTGATTTCTTGGTCTGTTGCCCCATCCTTACCATACGCAATATTCTCTTTAATGCTGCAAGTAAAGAGAGCTGGTTCCTGGCTGACAAGGCCAATTTTTTGTCTGATCCATTTTAATTGAAATTCTCTGAGGTTGATACCGTCAATGAGAACTTCACCAGCTTGTGGATCATAAAATCTCTCAATTAAACTAATAACAGTTGATTTCCCACTCCCACTTTGCCCTACCAAAGCTGCAGTAGTGCCACTTGATATTGAAATTGAAAATCCATTGAATATCTGTTCATCAG